GCCGTCACTCCTGCAGGCAAATTGAACAATGGAAATTGTATGGCCCCAGGCCATTCCATATGACACGTCGATTGACTACCGGCTAGGATTTTTTCCAGAAATGATAAAAGTCGTTGTCGGTAGCATTGGGGCAGCAGCAGCAGCAGCAACTTCCTGTGGTGGCATGTTTGTGCCTATTCCCGTGAATTATGATTGCATGTATAGCCGTATCCATACTACACTAATGTAGAGAAAAGTGCGTTTGCGCCTCCTGTTACTCGATGTTGAACTACAAGTAGAATGTTGACAACAAAACATTATTGTATTGTGTAATAATAATAATCATTCCAGTTCTTTGTCTTAATTTGTTTCGATAAATATCTAATAATTACATTCACATACCGGTCAAGCAAGATACGCTATGATGACATATATAAAGCTCACAATTTTCATACAGTGGTGCATAGTCAGTTACTGGAGAAGTTAAAGGACATAACGTAAAAAGTTGCACGGCAGGAAATGAGTCAGTTTTATCAATTATGGATTCACTGTTTTATCTCCAAAAACTTTAAAACTCAGTTGTATAAATTTACTTATTTTGATGAACGTTACAATTTCATTGTCGAGAGCTTAATGAAGAATGAAAAGAAAGAAATAAATGAAGAAGAAGGAATTCCTATATTGCATTCCTTGCAATCAGGATTGTTACCGCAGGATCAAGGTGTATTTACACCCAGCTGCAAACCTAATTATCCCTGTGTCTCTCTAATTGGTAATCCATTATCGAGATAAAAAGAGAACCACAAAAACTTGCTTTCCGCGGCATACTCGATGATTCTGTCTGAAAGAAGAGAGTTTCAACCTGTCACGCTCGTTAGAATCACAAAAAATACAATGCACACATGTGTATATCGATCTCTTTCTAGTTTTGGTAGTAACTATCTTAGGCTATGTTATTCAGTTAATTGGTAGAACTCGGTAGCTCAGATGGAATTGGCAATTAATCACATATTATTTAGGCAAAATATCTTTAAACGTCCATTTTTGTCGTTGTAATCCGATTCAAATTCCTTCCGGGATGGCAACTTTGCTGGAATATTCGTTGACAGGTGAAAAAGAAAACAACGAATATATGACATCACGTAGCAATCCGTCGTCATCTTTCTTGTTCGATGCTCGATGTATCCTGCCAGTTGTCTACATTGCGCTCTAAGTAAGTTTCCTGTTTACGCAAGTCGAAAGCGCCAATAAAATCAAGAATAAGTAGAATTAGCATGCGGCCAGATTATACCTGAAAAGTGACGGAAAATTTTCGCAACGAGAAATCAACACGGCTAATATGCAGTTGCCTATATATATATACTCCACAAACCCTGTTTATTCGATTATACATGTGCTGTTCCTACATGCGCTATGTACCTTTCCTTATCAAACTCTACAAGCACTATTCTTGTAAATACCAGTTGGAAGATCTCAGCAATATTCACCATGATATGCTTGCTGTCTGTTGCTCGTTAGGAACCATTCGATTGTATCGTAAATGAATACTACTCTAGTTGCCCCATGACTAATCAATTTAATTCAAAAAATTGGTCGTTTCATTAATTACAAAAAAAAAAACGATCGCGTACAGCACAGTCGACTGTCCTCGTCCACCGTACCTTAAAATAAGTGGTTGAAATATCAGTATTACATGTTTTAAGATAGTACTCAAGTTCCGTTCATTTAAAGGAATCCATAATTATTAATCATTATTTTTTATTATTATTATTAAAGGAAATTAAAACATCTGCAACTCGATATAAGGAATTGGCGCGACTAAAAAGCAAAGGCATGTGGAAAAGCTTAAAAAGACTTGCTGTATCTAATACAACTTCCATACGAATCGTGGATTTAACACACACTCTATGCGGCATATATATACATACATATTTATGTCGTCAGCTATTTTATACTTTCAAGTCAACTAATTTCCATAATTTTATATAATTATTTTCATTTTTAAGTATATATATATATATATATAATAAGTATAATAATAATAAACTATTTAAATACAAACACTATCGCATGAACTTGAAAATGCTTTGGCTTCTAGTTTTTTTAGCAAGATTCCACGCAATAGTTCGTTTGGAAGAAGTTTATTTACCAGATAAAAGCAAACCTTCAAAGGAAAGTTAATTCAAGGGGGCGGAGGTGGAATTAGGCTGTGGAATTTCGTTTTTCTGAAGCATCGTATTTTATAGTACATGTTCTTACCAAGAGGTTTGTTTTAGATATTTTAGTCTAAATTTGGTGATTTGGTTATATATTGTCACTTGACGTTACTATGCAACGACAACTGATTTACGAAGGGGTGGTTGACTAGATCAGTTTTTAGGTTTTAGGTTTTTCGAAAAACATGTTTAAATGATGAAAAAAATGAAATACAAATCAGACAACGTCAATAATTAAGGACGACACAAAAAATGCTACATTAATTAACGATACTCATGACGACTAAAATGACCCTTGTTCTAAATACACCAGATAAAAGAAACGCTTGTTAATTCTTACAGAAAGGATAGTAAATAAAATAGTAAGAATAAGTATATCAACATTGTTCGGGCACCACCTGATAATAAAACCTGTTATTTTAGTACATCTACCCAAGAGATTCATTTATTTATTTTACTTGTCCCTGACTACCTGAAATAATTCCACCCAAAGGATGAGCCTATAACTAATATAAAGCATTACAAAAGCTTCCAAACTAGTTTTTGACTTCAACGGAAACCAATTTGAAGACTATACCAAGAGGCGCTACGAAAATAATGAAAACCAAAGTTTAGGAAAATGAATTTAGAAATTAAAAACCTCATTTTATTTTTTCTGTATAGCATTAGAGATGGTAAAAATATTATACCTGGCATATCATCCACTTAATAGGAGTAAATGCAGGGTAACATTTGGTTAGATACCAGATATTTAACTAGCCGAGTTTTCATCACAACAGGAAAAATCCTGAATTTTATAAGCAATATGTCATGTCCTTTTGGTTTGTCCGTTCATTCAACTGACAATGATCCCAAGAGTAATTAAAGGTTTTAGCCTACTGCGTCTTCAAACTTGATTTTTCAAATGATTTTTTTGAACAGTGACTTGTCCTTCTGTATTCGTTAGGTTGCACCGCTAGGACTTACATCATTAGAAGTAATTCACAGACTATATAGCAACTAAGTGTATACACCCTGCAAAATCTCTTCGCACACTCCTACCAGTAATTTCTTGTTTTACATGTTTGTTGTCTCACATGTTTTTTTTTCATAGTAAAATCACCCTGTTGAAGAATATAGATATACAAGAAAATATAGACTTTTTATGTGCCAACGTAAGTTGTCCCATCGGTCTCTTTTCGAATACGTTAGCCTTCATGGATGTACGTTATGTACGCAAGTTGAGGATCTAAGTAGGCAGCATATTATGGTAACAATTAAAATAGCTTCAGTTATACACGCCAAGTATATAAATTTGCCTGTTAGTAGTAGTAGCTCTGTTCAAGTAAACTTTACTAACGTTTACCAAACAGTCTACTTAATATATTAATTCTGGTTTTATATACAGTTTGGCATACAACGAACGGGGAATGAAACGCGACCTCATTTCTGTCGCGTGTGACATCAATTCGTTCATATAAGAGAGTTAGTTCTATTTATTTTTCTGAAACTAAAATTTCACTTGGTTGATTAAATTCCACGTTCGTATTATTTCGAACCTGTAACGGTTTTATTATCTTTCGTTCCACAGAAAAGCAATGACATTCTATAGATCCTGAGGTTTTTCGGGACCGCTCCTACTTCCCCTTGACTTAAATGTCTTCTACAGTTGAATACTTCATAGTGTCAATGTGGCGTAATGAGAACTGCATTTCATGGTTATATTCTGCACAGTATACATTCGACTCGTGCGAAATTTACGCCGTAATTTAAATTTTTCGTTCAAAGCTAATTGTGCGCGAGCGGCTCTGAGAACAACTCCCATGGTGATGCATTACACGGCGCCTTAAGAAGCATCGCTTGATCTTTTTAACTGAAAAAATAGTATGCCCTCTTTTTACTCTCTAGGAGAATAGTCTTCGTGGAGCAGTTAGACGACTGTTTACTGAACACTAAAAGCAAACAAGTCAGCGGCGCAATATAGAATAATAGTAAGTATACAACGCACATAAAATCATTAGCGACAATTGGAAATTACGGATAGCACCTTTAAAAAAAACTTATGCTAGAACTTTTGAATTGCCTGACAAAAAAATCACCCTTTCTATACCTTTTAGAAACATAGGTCTTCTGCTTGTTCTCGAAAACACAGGAATAATAATGTGTCACGAATCTCCGATTGTTTTTACTAATTCCAAAAGCACAGCCACAATTGCCTATCCATTGTTTCCTGCGAATCCTTTCAGTCACCTTCTAAAGACAATAGAACTAGTAATTATCTTGTACGTGCCTAGACGTCCTTTTTTTTTATTCTGTTCTTGTCAGTTTTATCTTTTTAAAACTATGACAAAATCATCGTTCTACTACTATTCAAACCATGTAAACGCGCAATGACCTTTCAACACAATATAGTGAGTGCGAATGGGGCAAATGTGTCTACAGGCAGTACACAGTTGTTGAAAATGAACGCTCAATGAATAACAATATTTAATTTGTATGTAAAATGTATGTACAACTATAGTTTGACCTAAAGCTACCTATCAGGACACTATTACTATGACTGGCCTGTTTTAATAATACAAGCCAAATAATGGCCTATTTATACCTCTAAATACTTCAAACAATCACTACACCGACTACACCTACTATTATTCTAGTCAATCCTGAACGTTTAGAGCTAGACGAATCCAGTTCAGGCAAATATAGACCCCGGAAAACTTCCAGTCTCCTGGAACTTAATCAGCCTCGTGACGACATTTGCCCACTTACTGGTAATATAATTTATTAAATAAAAAATATGGATACTAGTGAAGACGTCGGTGAGTATATACAATCAACAGAAAGTTTATTATTTGTTTACTTAGAAAAGTTTTACATTAACAGCGAACGTGACATCTATAATTTCTACATTCGTTATGTAGCTACCACTAATAAGATCCGTAAATGGCCCACTGTAGAAGCTTACTAATAAAATACTGTACACTGGTATTTGTACATATTTGTGTATTATGTTCATTTTGTTATATATGTATATATGCATGTGTGACCTTTCCTTATGACTGTCTTGTATGTTTCTGTGTTGTGATTATGTATGAGCGAGAAAATCTAGCAACGGTATCCCTTTCCGCTTATGAAACAATCACCTTAATACACAGGGCAAAAATACAAGTGAAACTGTTCGGCGTACTCTGGCTGATTCAGAGTCTACGAAATATTTACGTCTTGCGGAAGCCCTTCAATATTGGATAAATATTATCGAATGCCTCGTAAATCTCTGATCGGACTTTTGCTCCTGTCAATACCACCTGCAATAGATGGAGCATAATAGAAATTAATATTCGTAGCTCTTGAGTGCAAAAAAAAAGCTAAAAGCTCGAGTACAAAAACTAATGGAGAGTGCATAATAAACTATATAGGTTTTGTCAAAAATCTACCATTACCTTTCCGGAGACAAATATAAGAAGCACGATTCTCGGTTTCACCATTCGGTAGATAAGGCCAGGAAACAATTCCGGTTCATACGAGGAGAACTGACAATGTGTAAGTACGAGACCTTCCAATCGGATAGGAAATCGAACGTCACAGCTTCCTACCATATTTTGAATTTTGAAGTCAAGAAATTTGGCCTGAGAAAAAAACGAACAGACATTTACAACTATACCGATATAATGTAGCCACTGATTCTGACAGCTTAAGATTACCAGTGGTATCTGTAGAACAATTAACAATGAAGAGCCAGATGATCACTGGCGCCCTAAAAATAGTGCTTCGAAGCGTACTCGCTTGAATACAAGTTACATCTTTACATTATTATAGAGCCAGACATGAAAATATTGAACTGATTTATTTAATCATAATAGATACTACCCGGAAAAATCTGTGTGATTTACTTTAAAAACCGCTATGTGAGCTCACATACCTCAAATCCTAGTTTTTGTACAATGCGCGCGTATTTTCGGGCAGCCAACCGAGATTGATCTTCAGATTTAGCGCCTGTGCACACCATTTTACCAGAAGAAAAAATCAAAGCCGTCGTTCGCGGTTCTCTAATTCGCATGATCACAGCAGCAAATCGCTTCGGATTGTACTCAGCATTACGGGCTTGCAAAGCAATTTTCTGCAAAACGTAAAAATCACAAATTAATCATTCGGTGGTTCGGAAATTTCTTAACCTTTGCTAGCACCTTGGTAGATATTCATAACGCGTTCTGCATTGTACTATGCAAATAGTTCGATTTTTCGCAAAAAAACATAATTAGGTTAGAATAGTTAATTAATATGATAATACCTTGAGATCAAGTTTACAACCGAGATTCACTGTTGATACAATATTCTGTAATTGTGGAATGATGCTTGGATCTACAGAGGCTGGGGTCATTGGAGCCGGTGTTACTGGTGCCGCAAAACTTCCTGTGTCCTTCCCTGATGCCTGCTGCTGTTGAACGTAAGGGCAAGTGAATCTGCTAGAAGGTACAAACTTGCAAATGGCTTTTCGAATCCATAGGAATAACTGTATATAGAATTTATTGTTGGCCAATCAAACAGTATATTAAGCTAATAATAACTTAATGAGTGTTGAAAAACCACAAGGTTTTAGCTTGAGGTTAATATCGCAGCATAGTAACTATACCATATTGCTACAACTAAGCTAATTTCTCTGTCATGGTTGATTCAATGAAATGTCCTCCGGTTTATTTTAGTAAACTAAAAGTCTGGCCAAGGAAAACCTGTGCATACATACTACCTCATATATCGAACATATTTGGAATGAAACAGAAATAAATGCCATGGGAAAGTATCTAATATAACCAACCGCGGGAGTTGTACTGCCAGGTGGTGGTACGTGGCCCATTGGAGTCTGAGGTTGCATCATGGCTTGAGGTGTCATACCCACCCCTGCGCCTCCGCCGGGGAATTGGTTCGATCTGCAACGCACAAAGAGGCACAAAGCAGCACACACAAATATTCACTTGACATAAAACGTTACCTGCGTCAACCAATGTATCTAACGCTAAATAGGAGCGAAAGATGGGATAATATTGCTAGAACTTATTTGTTATCACATATGATTTCAGCAACTTAAGTATTGTTATTGCAAACCTGGGTGTGCCCACATCATGGTGTTGCGGTTGCATTGGTGAGGGTGAAGGCAACATAAGCCTATTAAGAGACTGAAGATGTGCCTCCTCAGCATTATCCATTGTGTCAATGGGACCCCAAACACCGCTGGACGCTATTGTCTGATTACTTCCGTGTGGCTCCATCGTGGCTACCAGGAACTGGAATGAATTGAAGAATTAAATATAAAAATACATAATATTTATATAGGTATTTTCAGTTATGATACATGTAAGTGCGTACTAAGACGCTATTCGGTACGAGAAAATTTACGGATGAATTAGACTTATTAACAATTATATGAACGCGTACTCTATTATTAATATTTGGTGATATGTTTATATATATATAATATAATACAGACCAGATTTATGCACGTCTCTTCTGACTGTTGAAGGGAAGCTGTAATAGCTAGCATGTAATAAGCTCAAAAACATTTCAAAAGAACCTGATTATAATATGGTAACAAACGAAAATATGTAGATCCCACACCAAATTACGTAATAAAATGCTACGACCTATATGTCTAAATCCTTATTGAATGCGCGGTTTTGCTCGTCATCTGTTGTTAGTTGTGTAACCCAGATGCTTTGAAGGGTTTGAAATCAAAACTAGTGTTTCACATCGGCGAATTCGTCTCTCGGACACTTCTTGATGGCCATCATTAAGGAAGGACAGGAGCATTCGTCTTAGAATAGAACTGCCGACTTATTTCTCTCTACTCTAAGCAATAATTCATTTGATCGCAATTCTTTTTAAATTACAACGATCTGAAGTAAGCTAGAGTGTATAATCTTTATTGCAAGATATATTACTATAGATTATCTGATTCATACTCAAACACCTGTCAGAGCGAAATGCAGGAATATGCAAAAACAGCATAAAACGTAGTGGCCTGATACAACTCTGGAAAATGCTCCTTAGTAGTAAGTGCTTTTTTTGAAACTAAGCCAGTAGAATTTATATACCTAAACAGTCATAATTACAACTCTCGTTTTACGCCGTTAGTTATGCTTTAAGAACCTGTATTAGGATCAAATCGAATTTTATAAGAGAAGGCGGATATGGGCTTTGAATGAGATTGCTGTAGACTGCAGTGAAAAATCGACTAAGGTAATTTCTAACCTACATCATTCCGGTGATACGTTTTCCAACGTTTTCACTTGCAACAAATAAAAATGCTTTTTCAATAAATCGTGCCGGTACATACGTTTTGCCATAGATATCCGAGCACAGTATGTCAAAGTAATAAAGTTTTACCCCGAAATTGTGTTCATGCGCACTCCGTGATTTTACACTATTTCGCTGAAAATCCTTGTCAGCCAAGTACCAATTCATGCTAGAGTCGATACTAATCAGAACACATCATATTGAATCCGCAGATTTCGAAGAAAAAAGTGAAAACTTTGTTGCGGTACCACTTTGTTCGTAAGAAAGAATATTTACATCTTAAGTCGCTAATGCAAATGAACTTATGGGTTAACGCCATTCGGTAAACAATTTTGTTTCCTTGCAATAAACGCGAACGAAGGAAGCACGTCTGTATAAAATTACCCTATATTAAAATGACTGAGGTACAACTGGCAAATTAAATCACGAAGCAATGTATACACACCTTCAAAAACAAGAACAAAAACTACCTAGTTCTGCACAGCAGTGCTAGGCTCATTTATACCGGTTCGATAAGAATAATCGAAATCCAATGAAAATATGCCATAATCGATGATCCACATAGCTATGGTACTTAGTTTTCCGATTGTAACTTATAGAAATTCGTAAGCCAAAGTGGCCATGATCTCCTGTAATTTCATAATTAAGAATATTCGATACATTGTTTAGCGAATCACATCCTGCCAATAGAAGAATAAATGGAGAGGCTACTTTTCACAGATCTTTCTTTAACTTTTATTTTTCTCCTCTTATGTCCTAGTGGCACTATCATAAACAATTTCACGTATAGCGAATACTATTGAAGTGCAAATGCGCTTATCATTTGCCTAAAAAATGAGCTAATTACTTAATTTGTTGAAACTTAGTCGATTTCTTTTCGTGGCTTGTGACAGCCCAGGCGGCGCCAACTTGTATCCCAGCCAACTAACACGAGCTTATGCACGACGGCGTTTAACGAAACAGCTTTTGTCCTTTTTCGTCTTTCTTTGCTAGTCGACTCACACGAAAAAAACACGCACGCTGCAAGTTCACTTCTTGGTTTATCCGGTAGCGGATAAACAAATTTGGCCACGAGCGGAAGATTCGTGACTGATGCACAACATACACCCACACGGTTTGACCCGTTGAACTCGGAATCGTCTGAGCACAACAAAATAAAAGCAATCACTTATTCATACGTAATACTGAAACATGGTCACAGACACCCACCAGCACACTGGGCTGGTCATTGCAGAAACTTTTACCTACATAAGGCAAAAACAAGACCAGCCGCATTTTGAGAACAAGCGGCAAAACAGACAACTTCGTTTCTGACCGGCGGCAAACATGTCCTGGCTAATTACATGTCCACGGCTAATGCTATGGCGAGCTCAACTGGCGCTATCTTTAGACAAACAATGACGACTGATTAAAAACGAGTAGGTTGCGCTATAATAATATCATACACAGCAAAGTTAACTGCAATGATTTTTCATGGCAATGCACTGAAGATAAACAGATTTGATTTTTTAGTAGCTTTAGTAGATAATTCTAATAAAAAAAAGTCAACTATTGAAAACAAAAGAGTCAACATACTGGAAACAGTTTCGAAGAAAGGATATTGGCGGTATCAAAAATGACGATGATATTCTAGGAAGTATGTACCATTTAAACCAAAAAGTGCAACCCATAGCCTAGATGCGAGCGTAAAGTGGCTTTGATCATACCGATACATGATCGTGGTTTTGACTTGTCCCTAGATATATTTTTTATTCTTTATTGTTTTAAAACTCTATTATTATTAGATTGATCTGTGCTCGGATTGACTATCATTTATTTTTACTATGATATTTCTACTCTTAAATATATTATAGATAACTATCAAGACTAAGTAAGAACTAATTGAGTTATTCATTCTCGTATGTTTTGCATATGCATAGCAAAAAAATAATTATTTCTATTTGGTTCAATTGCCATATCCGATCTCAGTGCCTTATAGTAACTCGTATGTCATATATATATATATATATAGATATATATATATATGCTTTAAAGATATATATATCTTTAAATTGTGAGCTATGCATATTAATTTTCAACAATATGCTATATAGTATTAGAGAGTAGGTTTTTTCACTGTTACAGGTGTCTGGGACTTAAAAAAAAGTAATAAAATATAGTTAACACTTATTGTGACAAATCTATTGATACGACCTGACAACGATCGTTTTTAATGATGTGTTGCGCATAAATTGCAATACATTAACATATTAAAGTACAGAAAGAAGACACGCGCTGCCTGCGGAGGAGACAGATACAGTATTTTATTTAGCTCAACTTACAACTTACCTTTGAAAAAATGTTAATTTAAGTTTGACTGAGACCCATCCGACTTCATTATGCATTTCGGCATTTCTAAAAACATCAATATGCTCCGTAGCAGCCTGAAATAATATTAATTGTTTGTAGAGGCTTTTACAGTCCTTAGTAACTACATGAAGTCGGCTCCACTCCCTGAACCTCCGTCGGGAGGTCCATATGGTGGTCTGAACCTAGTACTGGGATGGAAAGGATCAAGACTGGGGCGATTGCCGAGATCGGGACTGACTGCCCCTTCCGGGAAGAAAGGTTCAAACCTCGCGCCAGGTGGGACTGCTCCCCTTGGCAACGGTATTCCATCAGGGCCAAGAGGCTCAGGACCAGGAAATCTGTCACTGCGCAAATTTCGCAGAGGGTCGATTATCATGCCTCCTCCTGGGCCCTGACCCAGAAATGGATCAAGGTCGCGCCGGCCCAACGGGATTTCACCACGGGACAGTGGATTTGGTGCTGGCTGTCGAGGAGGATCAAAACTGGGGCCTTGATTGCGAGACGGATCGGGTTTGAATAGGTTATCAACTGACGTCGCGGGTGCCGTCGAAGTGCCGACAGTCCTGCTGATGACTTGACACGGCTTTACCAACTTGTCGAAGACCTCTGACAGAAGACTAAGTAGTTTAGGAAAAACGAGCCGCGGACTACAAAACAGAGAGACAAGATTAAGGAATACGGATATCTTTAAGAAACAATGAGTTTGCCAACTTTTTTTTTTGGGAAAATATTCACATGTTGATGCACGAGCAACTTATGTATACCGGTTTTTATTAGCGGAAACTACACTAATACAGCACTTACTAATTCATTTTTAGAAGCTGGTAATGCCACATTGTGTTGTAATGTTTATTTCTTTTTCCGTTTTCGATCAAGTTCAATGTACATAATTACCACTTAGACATTAGACTTACTTGTTTGATGCAAGCTGCGTCGAGTCAACTTCAGTCGATGTATTAATATTCATTGCCATGGCAACCTGATCTTCAACATTTACCATGTTTACAAGAAGGAACACGTCGTGTTCGACATACTTAATGATAACCTTTTTTCGTGGTTCGGTTCGCGACACGTACCGATACTGTTCGTCGCTAGCCTGCCAGCCCGCAGGGAGACTTTCGCTGCCTGTTTCATCTGAAAGACAATAACAGAATAGAATCTACAGATCAATAGACATGTCTGAAGGTGCAAAGGGCTATTCGACAGAAGCTTATGAGTGATTTTATTATATTTCAATAGTAGTGAATACAGTTAGACGTGCATTAATTATTCGCAACGTGAAGGACGATTACCCATCGTTTGCTATTAAAAGCCTCGCAAGCAAAAATTAAATCAGGTTTGCTGGAAATACCATTATACATTAAAAAAAAAACTATCAATAACGAATATTATCTACAAAATAAGCCAAGCCTGATAAAGTATCAGAATCAGTTAGCTGGCCACAACCTTGAATGGTCTTGTAGCGGCCTACCACAAAACCCGTACCTATGACACAAGACCGTGCTCCATTTATTCATTATATATAAACTACGGTAAGCAGCGTTCATGGGCAGTTCCTAGAATATGACCCAGTAACACGAAACCACGTTACAAGTATTAGTAGACCTTTGGGTAAGAAAAATGAAAAAGGACGTCATTGTTCGATAGCTTTGCATCCAGTAATATGATTACTGTACATTTATTGTATGGCTTTCTAGAATTTTTGACTTGCTGAACCAAATATTAATAAGTTTAGAACTGTATCAACCAATTTGCTTTAAGTTGCGCGGGTCCTTGACTAGAGTCATCAAGCATTAACTCGTTTGAACATAGTTAAATTTTAAGAAAACGATATCTCGTTTTCTTTCTGTATTATGTTTCCGCCACTAATACAAATGTTCGCGTTGATAATCTAAATAAGAGGTGCACCAGCTAAGACAAAAACTTTTTTAAAACCCTTCATAGGTATTTTATTCTATACAACATCAAATTTTAGTAATACTTTTCAAATATATGCGTAATGCGCTGAAAATAGGTAGAATTTTACGAATATGATCTTTCCTTAATAAATATAACTTATTTGGTGCTACATAATTGCTTGAATTCTGTTGTTAGCCCTTATCAACTCCTGGATGACGAAATTAGTACTGCCGTCTATTTACGGCTATTTTATTAATACTTTCTACGTGCCATGAGCATCTGAAGTTCACAGCTTAAGTAAAAAAAAAATTTTCCTTGTACCACGAGCTCGCCCTATAAATGTATAAAAAGATCTGCATCACGAAAAATTAATCAAATTAAACGGCAGTCTTGTAGTTATTTTTGGACGCCTAATTTTTTTATGGCAACATCCTACAACCAACCTAGTCAGTCTAAATAATCTACCTATCTAATGAATATGCACTTCATTCTAATTCGTTACGATGGCAGCTACTAGTTCTCACGGCCGTCCACGATTTAACGAAGTTATTAAAACTGCGGTATGAACCTGATTTTTATCATGAAGAACATGCAATATTTAACAAAAAGTTAAAAAATCGCACAAGTATCTTTGCTTATGTCATTATACGTATTATCAATAAGTAAATACGTAAATGTGTATTTCAGGCAAGTGTATGCTTCCCAAAACTAGAACAAAAATTTGTTCTCATCGGGTGTTATCGTTGAGTGTCTCATTTTTCCAGTACTTACTTTCCTTCCACTCGGTTCCTCGGCCTACATAGCGCCAGCCATGTTTGGTCAGTACAAAGTGTACGAGTAAACAAAGGGCATTCTTTGTTGACTCGATCGGCTGGAGTTTGTAGAGAGCTTCGAGCCCGAAGTCTGGAGCAGCCATCACAACGACTTAATTAATCCAATGCTAAGCTGTGCTTTGCAACGCAGAGAATAGTCAATCTATATAAAATGATTTGCCTGAGTGCCCTGTCAGCTGATTTCGTGTGTCTACTCAGTTCAATCGCCCTGACACTTCTTCAAAACCGACTACAAGTTATTGTTCTATAATCTCTTTAAATGTTTCGTTAAATAGTTCAGAACAAGTGGTGATTTATGTTGGATTTTTTGTATAAGAGTTTTAAGTTCGTAAACACAAGTTTTCAAATAAGCATGACTCTACTGCAAAATAAGATTTCTCTTCCTTGTAAATAACATCGAAAGGCTAATGACATGTCCCGCAAAACAAATTTGTGCCAACCTCTGGCAATTCTGCTATAAGGGGGACTTATTTTTCTTGTGCCGAATTTCAATATAGAGTATTGTACGGGAAAACAGACAAGAATCCTTGTTTTGCAATAGCTCAAAAACTAATTAAAAAGCTGATTAACGCGTTGAGTTTGGCGCTCGATTATTCAGATCGGTCGAAGTTAATGCACTGTCCAAAACATAGCAGCAAGGTCGCGCGGTCGGTCAGTCTTGCGGTGATGTTGTTGGCCTCATCCGAGTTCGATAAAAATCAACTGTGACAGGTTCTGCCAATTTCCTTTTGTACCGTACGTTGATTTTGAGATACTCATTTCAGCCCAAACCGATATGCAGTGTTTTCGTCAAGTCCGCATGGTGAGCCGGGCTCTCACCCGTGGAAAAGCAACGTTGCCTGATCTTCCTTATGACTATAATGCGTTAGAACCGGTCATTTGTGCTGAAATCATGACTCTACACCACTCGAAACATCATAACGCTTACGTAACGAACTACAACATTGCCGCCGAAAAACTGCAAGAGGCCATACAGAAAAATGATACCAATGCCCAGATCGCTTTGCAAAACGCTATTCGTTTCAATGGTGGTGGACATATTAATCATTCCATATTTTGGCAGAATCTGTGTAATCCTAAAGATTCTGGAGAGCCGAGTGCCGAACTTCTCGCTGCTATCAAGAAGGACTTTGGCAGTTTTGAAGCTATGAAGGATAAGGTACGACATTGCTAGCGCTAGCGCTATGCACAAAATGTCTTCTTCAAATATTCTATGGGGTGCTATTTGTATTACGCATGTTCTGTGATTTAAATTACCTGTTGTCTCCCACAACAGATATATACTAGGTAAAAAAATATTCATTATGCAATCGGCATACAGGTTGTATGGCCATCTATGGGCATAATTGCTAAAACTTTTCGAATATTTTCGCCCACGAAAATGTGCGAGATATACTTTTTTATGGGCCATGGAAGGTACTGAAACATGCCTATTTTTTGACAAATGGAAAAACATGATTTCAAGTGACCGAATTTTTTTATGCGTCGTTTGTGTAATGTTTGAACCAAATGCCTTAATTCGATTCTAATCGCTTTTGCTTACTTCCTCTAGATGTCGGCAGCCGCCGTCGCAGTTCAAGGATCTGGCTGGGCCTGGCTGGGCCTCAACAAAGCGAATAAACAGCTGCAAGTGGCAGTATGCCCGAACCAGGACCCATTAGAAGCTAGCACTGGTCTTGTTCCATTATTTGGTATCGACGTGTGGGAGCATGCATACTACATTCAGTACAAGAATGTTCGCCCTGATTACGTTAAGGCGATCTGGAAGGTGGCTAATTGGAAGGACATTTCGCAGCGGTTTATTAAAGCTTAGCGGTTACAGTGACTTTACATGTTGATGCCAGGATAAGAAGTAGAAGTGTAGTTGCGAGAAAGTGGAGTTTCGTTTTAGTTCGTTAATGAGCAGTATATGTTATGATATGTATCGGTGCCTCGGATTTACGGGGGGGGGGGGGGGGCGTGCGTCGCTGCGTATCGTAATTCTAGGCTAAAAATACACGAAACCATATGAGCGTGACATACATAAAAATAGAATAACAAACTAAATACAACAAAAATAAAATGCAAACAGATTGTTATTTTTTCATGCGGATATTGTGTTCATGTTACTGGATATTGTCTTACGAATTTGCTGGCTTATAGATAGGCTTGTTTAAGTGATTAAAGATCTCAAGGCATAGCCCGCGCTAGTTAAATAAAACTTCGGCCAAATCGAAATAGGTAAAGCAAATTTATTGTTTATATAATACAGCATCGAGCAAGTATCTGGAGCCAGCATTTGTTTCGAAAAATCCCAACAGCTATTAATTTGCTTGCTTGTAAGCACTTACTGCAGTTAACAAATGACGTCAATCCGGCACGATGGCAAAAACGGCGTAACTAAGTATTCGCATTTCCTGTTTAGCCTTATCGGGGATGAAAACATATTCAATTCATGCACTTTTGCCTATGCATTTCCCGTGGTTTTGCTAGACACATAATCGATTAAATTAAATGATTGTCTCTGAGGAGGCTCATACGTTGAGGTGACCTTCATAGCTGAATTAAGTAACTATGTGTATCACATATGTGATAAACCCATGTATATTTGAGGATTATTCAATCAGAACATGTTGATGATATAGTCTAAAATCAGTTTTTTACCGCCATTGTGTAGCAGGTGTTGCGAGATGAAATTTAAACTACTGTTTCGTTAAGCCACCGTGTTCATTCAGCTTACTACAAATATATAATAGAACATGCCATTATTGATAGTATTGATTTCCTTAACGTATTATAACGTATGGGCCGCATTCGTTATGCGCACCACGGCCCATTAGAAGTTTTACCTCTCATCATATACAATAGATGAGTAAACTAGATGATATTTTTACGCATTTATGCTATCTTAAGACAATACGAGGTAAAGCTTGACACTGGTCAACAAGAGTCTTGTGATTCGGCAGATCCTGTTGATTATCTCTTAAAGAAAATTCGCTTTCTCATAAGAGACTACTCTCATAGGCAGCCTAACCGTAAACTAGTGAGTAGCTTATTATTTAATGGTTGTTTTCCAGGAATCGAATGTCTATGCATTGCCTTGTACTAGACATATCGCACATCCCTCTAATTTTCCGACTAAGTTCCTACTTTCAACGCTCAGCAGCGGCCATTTGTATGTCCAAACTAATAGTAAACTTCGTTTTACAGTGAGTTTAGTATCAATTTGTATTAGTAGTAATTTTGCAGTAGTTCAATTTTAAATAAAATAAATACGCTCTGAGTCGATTTCGTACTTCGAATTCAACGCATAACAGCGTACAAATTAAGTGAATAAACACTAAGCATTGTTAGAATATCTTAATATTACGCGCTGCACTTCGCGTGTTGACCTACAACCTTAGACGTGCGACAGCTCAACTGACGAACCCCGCCGTTTAAGCCTGATTAATCACACAAGCTTGTGCCTTTCATTTTCGACGTATATTACTTCTTAGCATCTACTGAGCCTGGCAAGGTCTGCCAATCTTTTGATTATCTATTAGTAATCATACAGTCTTGTACGTTTCTCGCTGCAGACGCACTCAACATTCGGCTATGGGAGATACTGGGGGGTAAGCCTAAATGTTTTAAGTTTTACGTCTGATACCGTCGTTAAACATTTCATCGAACGAGGGGTAAGCCTATCGGTGCACAGTTAACCTATTTCCGTTATGCATTTGTGGACTTTTGATCGATCAATCTGATCGGTTGAGCGTTGCTTTCGTATTAAGCAAATTAGAATTTTAGTAGCATGACTGTCCCAAGATTAGCTGGAACATTAAAGCGAAATGATTGCACAAAAATCGGTATAATATTTCCAATTTTTTCGTGTTGTTACTATCGTAATAGAAAAATTTGTTATTGTTATTTCTTCATCATCCAGCTACGGCGGTCCTATCAGTCAACCAGAAGGTTCAACACTTGAAGTCAATAAAGCTGAGTTGCAAGAGGCACTTACGCTGCTCAAAGACATGCAAACAAGGACAAAACAGCTGTATAGGATAGCCTTTACAATAATTGGTATTGTGATAATTGTGTTTTCAATCATTACGTATGTGGCACTCGAGCAGGCACACGCTCGATTAGACCAAATCGACAAACTTGTCCACAAAGTTGAATCATTTATGTATTCCATAGACCCCGTTATCAGGCCTTCAGTACGAAGAAACATGTCGCTCAGGGCGGTTATTGAAGAAGTTCTTTTTGGAAGCGGTACGAAGTTGACTGAAATGGTCAATAGTCTAATATCCGATGGCAAGATAACATTAAACGGAGTTGATTTTCCCATTGATTTGAGTTCTCTTCTTCATCCGATACATTTGCCGGAAACTGACAAGGAAAAACGGAGAAGTTACCTCGTTCGGTACGTCAGAGGAGTGCCAATGTACCTTGGGATTGGTGCCTTTGGCTCAATAGGAAATAGCAGTCTTATTGTGCGCCTTGGCTGTCAACGCATCGCGAGAGAAGCGACCATTCCTAGAGATATTGTGTTAACGACCCAATGGCCTGAGAAGGCAAAAATCAGTTTAGCTATTTTGGGGATCGATACTATCCCCCTGCGTGTACTTTTTCCGGTGTTGATGCGGACTAAGCATATTGATGACTGTGCGCCGGGCGTTCCCCCGACGGAGGAACCGGGCCCTGAATGGATACAAAGCATATCACTGCTAGAGCATGCAATTTATATGGGGTTAAAGATTCGGTACAGAATTGAAATCTTGCCATAGTAAATTTACAGAAAACTACATTTTGATGCGTTTCTGTTAGTTTTGGTTTCTAGTATCTATAAAAAAAAAAGTAGACACTTGCTGAGTCTTGCCTCGTTGTGCTTTGTATCGTTACTTAAGTATTTTCGTCTGTTATGCGTATCGGATAAAATTATGTGGATTTGTGTATTACATTTTGATTACACAGATAATAGCGGACGTTGAAAGGATAGAATACCCTATTCGAATAAACGAATTAGTTCGATAGGACCATAGTTTAGGTACAATAAAATAGATTCGCGTACTTTTAAATTCACTGGTAATATTTGAGATTTTCCACACTTCTACATTAATTAGCTTAGACTATCAGCTAGATATAGTATTTATTTCAGCGAAAATTTCAAAGATAACTTTAGACTAGACATTACAGTAATATGTAAAACAGCATGTGCGTTTTTTTATCATGCAACAACAATTACTAACTCTGTGGTTCATTAGCGTTGGCTGTAATACATTTCTAGCTGCTAATTTCGTCAAATAATCCTTCTTGATAATCGAATCCTTCTCGAATTGATCTCGATAATAACCTTATCGAGATCATCTCTGATTTTTCAAAAATCTATTGGGGTACAACGCAGACGACATAAGGTATCTCTTCTTATAACGTTGTCAAGAAAAATTGTTTTTATAGTATACCTTTTACCTTGTTAATATCGTCGTCATTTACGAGAAATAAATAGTCTATATTGCATTGTGCGTGCAAACTATCGATAGACGCAGATCTGTCTGTACATCTAGTGCCGGATTATACACGGTGATGTACTACTCATTTGCATGGCACACAAGCGCATCATCGTGATATTCATAGTTCATCGCTGCTGTGGCGAACGTTAAGTGTTGAGAACGAATTGTGGCGAGATAATCTATAGCAGCGCCGAGAGGTGAACTCTCCGAATGTTTGATACCAGCAGTGTTTATCGGTCATAGTTGGATAACTAACATTTATTGGCAATTTTTGAAGACTAATTTAATGAATCTCAGTCGCATTTCGATGTTGATCTAGTGGAGGTCACAGTGTCGGCTCCATCATACTTCCAATTCCGGGACAAAGCTCAGCTGCAGTTGCTCACCGTGGATTCCAGTAAAAAGAGTTATCTGAATTTCGAACGCTCGATCTCTCACGATGACGATTCGACATCCGAGTTGAGTACGACGGACATTGGAAAACGACTTGGGAACGTGAACTACAAGCATGTAGAAATAAGATGCCTCTATGGATGCGCTCTCGCCGTCGTGGTTATTCTAATAATCACGCTATCAGTCATTGCTGTTATTAGCCTTAAAGAAACGTATGAACGCATTAGACACTTAAACGAGATTGGCACAAAAGCCACCCTATTTCTCCAAGCTACCGAGCCAATTTTAGGACCACTGTCAAAGAAAAATTTAACACTCGACAGCGTTATTGACAGATTTCTCTTTGAGAGCAGCAGGTTTCTAGAAGAGGCCATCAATGATTTGGTATCGAAAGCTGAGGTAACACTGAAAGGTGTTGATCTTTGGTTTGATATTACTCGTCTCCTTGGTAAATCTTGCAAATCAGCTTGTAGCAAACTGAATAACTCCTACGACGTACTTGTCAACGGTGTACCAATGCGAGCCCGCCTTACTGTAGCAGATCCTATTCGCAAGCCAGTTCTTATTTTGCATCTTACATGCTCTAATAACAAGGGTACGTTCGTCGAATGGCCCCTCAAGATGGACCTGGGTCTGAGTATCTTGAAATATCTTGACAACAAGCCGGCGGTTTATAAGATTGTGCCATCTACAAATTTCCTTAACTGCGATAGCCCAGATTCTCTTGGCCAGAAACACTACAGATGGGAAGTGTTGATGCAAACAGTAAGTGAAGCAATTTTAGATAACACTGTCCGGTACAGAGTCGAACTCTTGCATCCTCTATCTAAGTAGATGGATGAATTCCCCTTTGTAAATCGACGGTGGATGCTAGCGGGCAGTGGAATTGATCTGTTATAACGTTATAATAGTACATGTTATGAAAAAAACAATCTGAATGATTTTACAATGGCTGAACGCCACACTAATAAATAATAAACGACATATTAAAAGTCAATAAAAAACCTTTATAATTATTATAAAGGTCGTCATCGTTGTTAGTTCTTAAATCTCAGTAGAATATGCTCACGTCAAAAACTAATCTTTTTTTTTCTATAAATGCCATGCATCAACAGCGGAAAAATCCTATCGTCTTCAGAACTGCCTCGATAGAATATAAAGTGATTGAAACTAGATATTACAGGATTTAACATAGGCGCAATTGTGAAATAAATCGAAAGGCACCAGCAAGTTTTGTTTAAGGTTTAAGTTTAACAGCCTCGTACACTGATACTATTAGGGTGGTCATTCAGTATTATTGGAGCATTATATCCTAGCTTATTAGTTTACAATTGTCACTTGGGTATCGTTGGGTACCGCATCAAAATACCCTCGAATAGCTGACTAGGTTAAAATTCTGTAAATGGCTCCTAAAAGCAAGTTTTTGCTATATCCATCGAATGAGCTCTGCGTGGTCTATCAGCTGCTGTAAGGATATCGTGTAGTGAGTTTAATTTCCAACCCGAAAGAAAACCTATGTTTTAGGTAAAAACGAGATACATTTTTGACACCTTGTGTATTATGTGCGTAATGTGCCGAAGCGGCCCAGAACATTGGTCTTATTAGTAGCTGCGCTGTCGTTAAAACCACAAGGAGTGGTTTGCTGGGTCTAGAAATAATATCCTAGAGAACCTAGAGAATACACCTTGCTTTGGCCGACTGAGTTTAGTAATGACGATCTAAGGTACTTTTACAGGAACGGCCGGCACACAACTCCTGTGCGTGAAATGATGTGCTGTAGTCAGTAGACTACCGTTAAAAAAGTTAGGTTGAGGTAGATACTTTCGAGCATGCATACCTCATGATTATTTGATCCAATAATGAACTACGGCGTAACGCTGCATCTTGCCCGGTATCAAGCATCAAGTAGTAATGATGACCGCTTTTACATAAAATTTTCACAGATGCTGACTAGTAGTGTATGAAGGTCAACATAGATCAGAGATCGGAATGTGTGGCTTCAGCAGAAAAGCTACGATATAAGTCCCACCAGATTTTCATCTAAAATCTGGTGGGACCAAATCGCTGCGTTTGGTAGCATTGCAGAGATCTGATTTACTAGAACCAGACAATGATTCGGCATGTTCATTTGACCGAGTCGCATCGGAATCAATCAGGCTATGCAATAGAAAAACCCGACAGTCCATGAAAATGTTAGGCCTCACACGGTAAATACAGTCACAGCTATTTTTCGGAAGTTCAAATGGAAGGTTTCGTTGTATCCTCTATATACTCCAGACCTGACGTTGGTAGATTTTATGTTTTCCGTTCATTGGATTAGGAGCCGCTTATTTGACAGTGAAATAGGTTTTAAAATCTGACTGAATGAGTTCTTCTACAGCAAAAAAACTTCCGGTGAAAAGAAATAAATTGGTTCACAGATGACAAAAGGTCGAGAACAATGACGGAAGATACTTATTTTCACCGAAATAAATGTGACGTTTTCGCTTAAGCATTAAAGCGCAGGAACCTCCTTTCCAACTGAATATTACGAAGTCAGACTGCTCTATATTTTTCATCGTGAAATACAGTATTTCCCTGTAGAAAAAAACATGTCTAAGACTAATGCCATCGTTGTTTACAAAAATGAAGGGTCTATTTTAGATCTATTCTCGCATATAATCATCATGGACTTACAGATTTTGAGATCTTTGGTAGTTTGTAGTTCATTGTGTTCCGCTAATTCGTAAACGGTTTATCGTTTAATGTCTGTGAGCTTTTGCATATTTTGAACGAGGAAGCGTAGACAGAGATAATAGGGGACACCGTTTTAAGAAAAATGCCCGAAGTGCTCAGTCGTGGCAATTGATCAAGTTACTATTGATTTTGTTACTAGTACTGCATGGGCTGGCCTCTGCGACCGTCTATCAATTGCATTCTTGTGAGAAGCGATTATTTAGAATTGCATTGGGTGTCTCTTCTAGTCGGACATCTTTGACAAGTTTCAAGTTCCATCTTGGCTATAGCTGCCCTTTAAGATCTGTTTATCACAGCGATTCGTCGTGGATTCCAGTGTAAGGGATTACCAGCATTTTGTGAACCATGGAGGCCCCACTACTCAATTTGAAAATTCCACAACCGACTTAAGTACAACTTATCTTGATCGAAAACTTAAGAAGTTAAAGTATAACAACATAAGGACAAGCTTTCTTTATGGATTATTTTTGGCCATTGTGGCTGTTTTAATAATAGCTATAGTAGCATTCGCCGTTGTTAGTCTTAACGACGCAAACAAGCGCATCAAGCATATGCTCGAAGTTACCGACAGGGTGTCTGTATTTATGAGAGACACAGAGCCGATTCTAGGGCCACTTGCGCAGCGAAACGCAACACTGGATACAATTATTAGAGAAGTTCTGTTCTCCACCAGGAAACAGCTAGGGTCGGTCATCAATGGCCTAATATCTGCCGGGGAGATAACATTAAACGGTGCTGACTTCCGATTTGATATTGGCCGGTTGCTGGGGAAATTCTGTAATGCTGATTGTAATAGGTTTAATCGCACACAGGATGCTTACATTAAAGGAGTACCGCTGCGAGCAACACTCACCATAGAAGATATAGGCCTTAGTCCAGCCCTTATTTTGCAATTCAGATGCTCCGCTACAATCGGCGCATTCGTTGACTGGCCTCTTAAAAACAATATTGGTTTAAGTATATTAAAAACAGGCAACCACGCTGTGGCACATGTTATTGTAACACCTATGGACTTCATCAATTGCGAAAATCCAGGTTCTCCTGGTCAGAAGACATTCGAATGGCAGGTAATAAAGTCGACCGTGAATCACGCCATTAAAAACGATATTGTGCGTTACAGGGTCGAACTCCTACATCTTACTTCTGGATAATCAGAGGTACTCAGTTGTATCTTACGCGAGCTTACAGATTTCTATGTATATCGGCTCCCTGATTGTCTGTAACTAGTAAAATGATTGAGATACTTTGAATTCGCTTTTTAATTTTTTTGTTTTTCCTTTTACTTTTTTTTAAATTTAAAAAATTGTTTTTTTTTTTTAATTCTGCCTGCTTCGCTATTTTAAGCCACGTTAGTAAAAAATAAAAGCAAAAAATCTAAAATCTTAGTGGCTTACAATATGTAAATATTACATACTGTACGTACGTATAGACATTGTCTGTATAATAGTATCGAAAATATAATTAAGAACGTTCTAATATAATTTTGTTCAAAGTCTAGCCTTCATCAACTCAGTCGTGCATTGTTTATTAGTTTCTGCTAAACATAATACTATTTTCCGGTATCCTATTCCACTTACTCAATAGAAAAAGCTGTCATACCGCTTTTGCTCGAATGGCCATAATTACGAAAGAACTGATGGTGTGATTTCATATAAGCATTGCTTTAAGGGTTAAAATTTTGCTCGTGCCCACTGAAGGTTCTGTACGTCGGTTTATTGTCGACATGATCTCTGAAGGTCACGAGTGCATCGTAAATTCACGCCTTTCTACGCCAGGAGCTTCGGTAACCCTAATCCTCCTCATTCTGAACAGCCCTATCAGGATTTTTACAAGACACAACTTTTTTTTTTTGACTTGGGTTTGAGGCTCAATACTGAAGCAAATTACCTATCGTAATTTGTAGCATCAGTGAGTAGATGCCGGCAATGGTTCTAGAGAAATCGTGAAGTTGCTGAACATTAACGCATGTATCTATGCACATTTATTTCACACCATTTGTCTAGACAATTTTTTTAATGAGCTTATTCTTCCGAACCAGCAGTACCCGAACAATGTTTATAATTTTACTATTGATGCTTGTAAAGTATACATCTTTGTACTTTACATAAATGTAGTACTGACCAAAGAGTAGCGTGCTTCTACGTGTCGAAACTATAACAGCTACTTACGATTGTGATTATAGAAATTGATAATTATGTAGGTGAATAAAACATTTAAGCTGCAACCAAGGCAGAATTGGGTGCCAACATTGACCCTACCACGCTGTGCCTCTACAGTCCTATTCCGCCAAACAGGTCATCGAAACTATGAACATAAATTTTTATTTTCTATTTTCCTATTAAGTCTATTTTCCAATAGTGAATATTGATGCTAGTAGTTTCATATTTTTAGAACTTATATTCGCGATTTTTTTTCTCTGTGACGGTCAATTTAGATTGAGTGAATGGCCTCATTTGTAAAGTCGGTCCGCAAAATGCACTATAAGATACGAAATCGTGCTACCCGAACATCGACGTATCCTATAGAATATGTGTAACCTGTTCGCTTTGTTTTTTTTATCTGGCTACGCAAAGACGGACTTATCAAAAATTCAAAGATGTCCACAGGAGATTGACGCGCTAGGATAGATCTCGTCAAGAAACGGTGGACCACAGCAACACAATTATGTCGCTTCCTAGAAAGTTTTGACTAATTGTCAAGAAAGGCCTCGCACCGGAGGACGCCAGTGATGATATTTTCGTAAAATTTGCAACGATGTATTTTCTTGTGGGAGTACAGACGATGCTGCTGCATCTGCTACTTCGATAATACGACGTCTTTATAATTATTTACGCCGAACACAGAAATGAAACTATTGATTAAAGGAAAGGAAGTAACCGAATTCGGTGGTAAATCGTCAAAATATATACGACTATCACATGATGCGCCCTATAATGGACAAACTTCGTAAAATAAGACACTGTGACGATAGCATTGGGTTTTGTACCGCTACCGTCGGCAGTTCGCGCACGCAGTTCTTGCCAACATCGTCGCCTTATTTATGTATTTTATGGTGTCGCTTCTATCAACAATAGCCGTGCGTCAGCTAATTTGCTATATATCCGTTTCAAGCTTGTTGCTTGTATTTTTCGACCGGCTTTGTTTACACTCGTCCAAGTGTCAGAAGTTAGATAAGCCGTCATCTAGACTGAACTGTGAATCTGGTTAACAATGCCTCGCGAAGGCTTTCACGAAGAATTCGTGTAGCGGAGACAACCTATTCATTATACCTAATATATACGGTTGTGTAACTGTATGTGACGATTAGCCAGAGTGTAATTCTCAATATATAACGGCAGCTTGCGGGATCGATGGCTGCAGTCTAACTTGGAGAATGTCGTTTACCTTGATATGTTTGAATTGTGATGATCGAGAGGGTTACGACAATTCGGATTCGTCCCAGTATCCCACTAGAGCTAGCAAGGTCATAATTCACCGCAGATCCCGAAGACAGGCCTAGCCCTAGCTTAAGAAGAGAGTCCAAAGCTCAGTATGTTCTCTAAACCAAAAGACCCTGAGAGTTCTTCACCAGCCCGCAGGCTAACTGGAATAATACAGGAGTTGAGCCCAAGTAGTCAAGATCTACGTATTACAGAACTCGAAACTCGACTAGCTGACACGAAACGCCTCTACGGAGTCACTATGGCATGCACTATAATCGTGGTAGTTATCCTTGTGATCTTTACCATTATAATATTCACACGAACGCAGAATATGTCCAAAAAAACCGTAGAATTAATGGAAAAAGCGCAGCCTTTTCTGGGACTCATGGAAGACGATACTAACACTTTCAAGAAACTATTGACAAAATTTTTCTCTGTACCAGAAGTAAAAAACGTTTTTGTAAATACTGTTCTCGAGGAAATTGATGCGGAGGATATTGTGACAATGGTCCTTCGAAATGTTAAGCAGAGGCAAATTCTACTTGAGTTTTTTTTAAAGAGTCTATCCTTAGATAGTATTCTTAAGGATGCCCTGGTTAATATCGGTACGAATTTCGACCAGTTAGTTAACGGAGTGATACTGAATGGCTCCGTCACACTTCAAGGAGCTGACTTCATATTTCCATATAACAAGACTCGCAACGCTAGCACTTCGTATCAAGAAACGACTCCCGGACAAAGATACCGAAAAAACAGCTTGAACAAATCCATTGTTGTGTATCAAAACTCCTTGACTGGATTCGTCAAAGGTGTGCTAATGGAGGTCAATGTTACGGTGTCCGACGTCGGTTTTGACGCAGGATTAAGGATAACACTTCGATGTTTGGTTTTAGATTACCCCATACAAATATTTCCTCTTGCTGGGAATATTGGCATTACTGTTTTAACAAAAGGTCATCAAGTTTTAGTGGTTAAGGTCCGTAACCTTAGTGACATTATCAGTTGCCAAGATCCAAGAAAAGAGGGCTCGTACATGATTCCATTACCACTATCATTCTTAAGCAAAGCAGTCCATAATGGCGCAATCCGCATACGAGTTGAACGCTTGCCATAAGACAGCATTTGATATTACCCCGAAAAGCAGACGATTTAAATTGGTCTGTAATGGATGCCGTCCGCGAGAACTAGAGAACTTATCGCAAAGGTTAAACAATATTCATTTTGTTATTTGTGAATAAAATAATATTTAATTGCACTATAAATATAATAAACTAAACCAAAGTAGACTGAAATTTGCAGGAATTATTTCAACCGAGAGCTGCACTGTTTAGGAACTACCAAAAATGTCTGTCATTATTAATTTTCACTTGTTAAGTCAATTTTTAAAGTTTGTTTTTCTATTTACATTTTGCCTTACTCTTGCATTGTTTTTGATATATTTGAGCTGCTATACTAAAATCAGCTTTTGTGATTTTCCTTCAAATTTATTTGCCTCTTAAGTTAGATTGGGGGTCCCTTTACTTTTAACTGTTTTTACTATACATTTGTTTTTATTTTGTGAAACGATAAAGCCACTGGAGAAATGGTACACAGCTTAAAATAATCTTTCTTTATTCGGACAAAACAGTAACAATAAGCATGTAAACTAATAAACAATCTTACCGGTGAAATATAACACATGGCTATAAACCATTAACATTTAGAGGCAGAGATTTATGAAGCTTACAGCTAATTAAATGCTACATGAATTTTCTCTCGGTCAGTGTTTTCTTCTTCCACAACATGTGTAGCAAACTTTTGCAGAAATTTATACCAAGCGGATTACACCCACACCAATCAACAAAAAAACATCTGTTTTTAAAAAAAGTAAATACAAATACTGCTGAATTTTTCGGAATAAACCAGCGCACGCTGTGCAACTGCGTAAAATTCAAGTAGTCAATGTCAAAAGTTTGTCCACAATCGCCTTGAAAGTTCCCGACGTTTTACAACGAGTTACCCTTAACCACATAGTGGAAAGAAAGGTAAAAAGAAGAAAAAAAGAAAGGACAAAACCTGTGCGAATTATTACGCTGCAGCTTGTCCCCTCGCGTAGATAAAAAGAAAAAGCCAAGATCCATATTAACGCAGCTTCCGATCAAAAATGTAGGATGCAGATCTTCGTAGATATTCTACATATGAGTCTACGCATAATGTACGCATGCCTAGTTTAATCACTGTCTTATATTCTATATATAGTCTAAAGCATGATCGGGGGCAACGGATGTTTTAAATATACGTTACTATTTGGATTAGTATTACTATTCTTGATTTTGACTGTTTTCAAGCTCAGGGGCACAAAAACTATCCATACCCTACCGGAGATTGTACTGAAGAACTTCTTAATCGATCAATGTAGTGGTTTATAAGGCCTATATTTATAGCTTGTGGTTTGTTGATGAATGTGTAAAACATGTATATTTAAGAAATCTGCAGGTGCCCGAAAACCGTCCACGATGCCACTTAAATTGCCGGGCAACAATTTCCAGCGAGTGCTCATTTTTCCGTTTCGACCTTGACGGGACGACATTTTATCAATGATTTCTGTAAATGCTCAGAGAATCCCCCTGTAGATGACTCTGTGGGTAACACTAGAAAAGATTTGTGCCACATTTGTATGCAATAATATGCCAATTTATTAAAGAACTCGAATCTGCTAAACTCTTTGTTGTGATTGAGATAGTGTTTACTATTTCTTTCTATAATTATGCTGACAGTTCGAATATCAAGGAGAATGAACGAAAATAACATAATTACTGCAGCATGTCTAGCATTTCTCCACGTATCTGGCGCAACTTTCGTCATCACAACAAACTTCGTCAGCAACCACCTCGTTTTTTCCCGAAGGTTGAGACCATACTGGAACTCGACAGCAGGACGATTCCCTCCGGTTGGTATAGATCACGTATTTAGTTCCTGCAACTATTTGAGAGGTAACTCCGTAAACGTCTTCCGGTGCCAGGTTTGCGGTTTTCACTGCCTTTTGCACACGCCCGTCCGAGCAATTCGCTGTTGAGAATTTGCCAACCAGATGATTCTCTTTGTGTACATCCAGTCCGTACGTGCTATTACAACGCGGAGCTCCATCTGCATAGCTTTCAAGTGAGAATGCCTTGTCTGCTGGTGACAGGCATATCCCAAAAATACTAATGACGACTATAATTAGGAACGACATGGTGGCAAAGTTGAAACGAACCGAAATAGTTTTTACCGGCCGATCGCTTCGACTGATTGTGAGCTGTTGCTGGTATCCCGAAATTTAGCGAAACATTGACTTCACTGCGTTTTATGATTGCCAGTAAATGGTCGGATGAACCTGCAATGTCGTTGAGCGAGAGGTTCTTCAAGCTAGTCCAGTGAAGTTACGTAATAAGGAAGAAAAAAGGGCCCTAGACTACGCAGATAGCGAAAGAATAACAGGGAACGTTAACTCTCACCGAAATTAGATATCCGTCATCTAGAACATCGTGTATAGCACGACCAATTGAATAACAGATTCCGTGGGCACTAATAGCACAAAATGGATAGAAACTTACAGTAGTAGAAACGTGTAACTGGAACAAAGGCCGTCGTAATCTACCGTTCGCCAAGTTATGAATGGGACGCCGGGAAACTAGCCATTATATGAGCAACTTCTTCCTTTATAAAGTGATTTTTCCTTTATGCTTAATGGCACATCAGCGAAAATAGCTCTTACCTAATCTAATGTTGTAAACCTATCACTAAATGACGTATTGGGGGGCTTGCGATGTACTATAGTGAAGATAAGGACACGTAGTTACACAACGCAAAGATACCGACGCAGTAACCGATTATCAGCCCGAAGAAATCCGAAAGCAATCCACGTCGTACCCTTAAGCAGCTCCGCTAACTATCAAGAAATGTGCCACCTAGAAACAGTTTTATGATCCATGAACGTAACAATTAGGTAACGTATGAGACATTATAAGCTGTAATGATTGAAAATTCTGATTATCAATTATAGGTGCTTGGCACAGTACGCTTCATCTTCAAACATTATAAAACGAAGTGGCTACGTAGAAAATTCGTTCGTTGCAGATAAAATAGTTAACCCATACTGAACCCGCTTCTAGCCACTGATAGAAGAAAAACGCGCTTAATTTGTATTTGCTAATGAGGGCACGTTATAGACCTCATATATCCAACAACTAACTTCTACACGTAAGTCTGACGCCATTCGTTCACCACATCAATGTTACCCTTCTTGTGCCAATTACACGCACCGTTTGCCTGTCGCTCGCAGAGTGAGCGCAGGATGCCGCCGATAGGGGTCGAGATAATACAGCCTGACGTTTTCCAGATAGTTATTCTCGTATATTTTTCCTAGACTCCGCTAAAAAAGTAGTCTACTCATAAACCTGTACGCAGAATCATATGCCGAACGGTTGTTTCGAGAGGGTTTTTTTTTCTACACGGCATATCAATTTAAACTTGTTTATCAGCTTCGTACCTGTACATTTGTAGGAACTAAACATGCTTTGTATTCAGCCCGGGCAACTAGGTTTGGGATCAAATATGTAGTTTTATTTGAGGACACGTTGTGTAGCAAAGTGTTGAAATGTGTAACGCTATTGGGCTACTCCATTTAAAGAATGTCCACTCGAATAAGTCCATCGTATTTGTATTAAGGCCTTTTCGCCGGAACAGCGTTCAGTGTGTATCTATTGCACAGCTGGAAAATTAAGAACGCTGAAGTAAATGTACTAATGAGAAAATTCTACAATGAACTCTAATCACTAAGGGCGGTGGCCATCAAGGGTTCTGAATTTAGGAGCACGATTGCACTACGATCTATGATGCTCGCTTTTCAAAGAGTTTGGTAGGTAAAAGTATCGATAAGAGAGATTTCAACTTTTCTAATAATAATTTATGTGGAGCACATATTTACTGCGTTGTAACTATGCTTCCGTAGGGGTACAGTCATTATGATCATGTTGTGCAGCGCAATGCAAAACTTCAACTTGGAGGTGGCTTGTTAAACGAAGTTAGAATTTTTTACGATTTGTCCTTTTTGATCGGAACATTACAAGTAGTGTTCGTTTAAAGCGAGAGAAAGTTATAAATCCTAAGGAATCCTGTAGGGCTAATCGCTATCAGGAGATGCGCCTATTAGAAACCCATAACACGTACGAATAGCCCAGGACACAAATATGTATCGAAACATACTAGAATATAAATTAAAACATAATATAAGAAGCAGCCATCTCACACGTAAGCTAAATAGTAGATTTTCTAGTAAAATCCTATAAATCAAACCAAGTTCTCCACTGATACACTGGCTAATATCTATAGTCAGAATAGAAGAAAACTTGTACCACCCTAAATCCTGATTTATTTGGCTATTCTAGTACTAAGAGTTCTAAGGGCGCCTCTACCAACAGCACGAAGGTACATCTATTCGTGCGAAGCATCAAGTCGACGGAAATAATCATATGCAGTCCGTTTTAGTGAAATAATAATGGGAAACGATGATACGATTATTATATGTACCTATGTTGATTCAATACTAAGGTAAATAGTAGGTTTATAATTTTGTTAAATCTTTTTCACAAGATTACTATTTTATTCCGACGGCATAGAATATCACGTATCTATTCTTGAGCAAGCGTATTCGAATACACCTCACGCGCTCATTTCCAAGGACAACTTGCTTTTTAAGGGGCTTTATATTGTTCCTCATGATTCAGTGAGCCGATGTTTGAGACGACTTCATGCACTCTAATAAGACCATCATAACGCAACATCATCTTGCTCGCATCATGTAAAATTTAGACCAACGCCTGTTTATCGTGATGAAGAATAATACTAGTCATAATTGCACGGGGGCTCTGTATAAACCCACTAAAAGCACCTTGGTAGGAGTAGCAAATTGGATAAATATCATTATAACGATAATGACAAACACGTATACCGCTGAATTATGTCTGGTCTATTCTTTGTGAGCATAAATTGTTCAATTTAAAGTTTAGCAAAGACAGGTTGCTCAGAATCCTTTGAAATTAATGCAGTGGCAGCGGTCGCCACGTCCTCAGACTGCAGATGACATGCGTTCCACGTGGCCATGAATTCCAATGCCTGATCGACGGGATAGCTGCGCGAATAAACCAAATTTACCTGCAAGTAAAAATCTGGCGTTGAAATACACAGTGACAAACAAATAAAGTAATTCTAGACTGGAATAGTGTGTACGGATAGCATTAGACCTCTTTTATATGCAGGTTCTCGCACACGCTTCAAGTGGCGATGATCATATATACCTTCGTTCCCTGTACGGCAACCGGTGATTTCGCAGCGATGGTGTTCGCGAGTTCGAGTGACACTTTCATAAGCTCATCCTTGTCTTTGACGACCTTCGACACGAGACCTTCTTGCCGAGCTTCCTTTGAGTCAATTCTCCTACCGGTTAATGCCCATTCGCTAATCAAAGATCCGTTGCCCACAATTTTCGGCAAGCGTTGAAGCACACCAACGTCGGCGCACAGGCCCACATCGATTTCACGAATCGTAAACCATGCGTCTTCGGTACAATACCTGGATAGCAACAGCATCACTATTAGATTTCTTCTTATCTGTAAGAAATGAAAATGATAAATGGCTTTTTCGTACAAGAAGCACCGAGAACTTAGTGGAGCACGGAGTAAATCAGGGTCGCTATTTTTCAAATGGAACATTATTTGCATTTCATATGAATTTGATTTTTTCCATTTGCCATATGCCCAAGATTACCCAGTATTTATTTTCGGGAGTTTTAGAAGCGTATAATGCACATGCATCGGTGCCGTTCGACGGTACCCAGTGTAAGACTTGTAAACCCACCGAACCCATAAAGTCGGTACTATGTTGGAAATTAATCGATGACCCAGATTCTACAGACACTACGTCTGGAAACATTCGGGTGATTCTTTTGTCGAGTAGTATATGATAGTGGTAAATTCAACGATTTACTTTCCGTAGAGCAAATAAATGCGGTTACACTGTTGTTTCAAGCTTACTGCATTTCTAACAAGGTTCTTCCCAAAGATTCCTTGATGAATTGATCATTCAATTCATAAGCAATGGATCTTATACCCGAGCTTGCATATAGAACCTATCTTTTATTGTTTATGACAGATGTGAGATACGTATAGTGGGTTACGTAAACGTAAAAACACATTTTGAATATAATGAACATATAACAACTACTAAAGCTTTACTGTCCCCTGTGAGGTCGCCTACCCCCTGCATTAGCCTGGCCGGTTTTTATAACAGCTGACCGCTCTTAGGCTGTTCCTTAAGGCATCAAACAGCAGCAGGAAACTCATTACCTGATATCGCATGATGCGATAAGGCTGTTGCCCGCACCAATGCATCCGCCATGAATAGCTGCAATTACGGGCTTCGCGCACTTCTCTATTGACGTGACAGTATACTGGTAGCGTTGAATAAGATTACGAACTTTGACGAATTTTCTAGAAGCGTCGTCACCATACGCGCCAAATCCCGCCAAGACCGCTGCAATTATATTGTTATATACGTTAATAATAATAATTCCCTATCGAAGTTCTCGACAAGAGATGAAGTGTGATTCCGAGAGTGACGTATCGAGAATTACCAACTTGCTAAATTCCACATTATTCTACTGGAATTTATTTGATGACAGTGGCAAAAAGAAGGGCATAATATTCTCAGGGTCGACTTGTCTCACGAGTGATAGAAATATCGAATTGATTGAAAAGGATTTCCACACAGTCATGGGTCTCTATAGCACTAAGATGCATTTAACGAGAGCGCGAACATCTATTACAGAATACCACGCAATAAATTAGATGACGTTAGAATCTCCCAGTGGAAATGTTTGTAGAAACTACCATTCTTAGGTAATCAAATGTTTAAATACAGATCGCTTGTGTCCAAGATATTTTGTAACTGAATTATATATATGGCTTATATGATGGGAGCGTATGATTCGTGAGTTTGTTTGAGATTGAACCAGCGAAGAAAAAAAGAAGTGGAACTTGATTCAATTAGAAATAACAACTGGTACAATACGATGCGTATGTACTTGTGCGATGTATTAAGTATTTCGAAAACGGAAACACCGACATTAAAAAACTGATTCTTCTAAAATATATGTCGCAACGGAACGCGCGTTGTGTCACTATGATAGCATGAAAATGGTGATGGGTTGCGGATAGGCTGTGTGTAAGCATTAGGCCAATACTAACCGGCCTGCTCTGTAAGGTCGAGTCCAGCGGTAAACATCGCTCCAGAGCCTGAGAATATGACGACTCTGCAATTTTTTCATGAAGAACATTTGCTTTATCATGTGACTAAGCACAACATTGTTCGGGAATTCTGTTTGATACCACACTTACACATGAATGTGTTCAGACACACAAGTATCTATGTGAGTCGTACTCTCCTGCTAACTCGTTAAACCGAACAAAAAATAAAATACGAAATTCACGTTCCCAGATTTTTCCTTGGAAGTGACATATTTGAAACGAACGAGCCACTTCTCTAACTTCTATGTAAGTGGTAATTGGATAAACATTAGGTCATTGCTTTCAAAATCTACCTCACTCCCGTGCTCTCAGACAGCAAGTGCTTTTCGACCCGTCCACACTCTACTTGCAATGCAAAGATTTATGGATGCTTACCGGCAATCGGGATCGGTGTTTATCAAGGCAAAACACTTCGGTATGTCGGTCCACATCGCACTATTCATGGCGTTCCTCTTCTCCGGCCGGTTCAGCTCTACATTATAGACAAATGGCGCCGGTTTATACACCTAGAAAATGCGAAACGTCATTGCATGCAGTTAAGTTGTAGCCGTTCAACATCCTTCCCTCCTTCCGTCCGTCCGTACGAACGACTCAGTGTATGCGTGTTAGAGTAGGCGATTCTAATACGTATAGAATAGTCTCTAGCATAGATAATACCTTTAGACCTTTAGAATTATGCTATAGTCTAACAGCTCGAGTTCGAATCCCTCAAGTGTCCGCCTTTGAGGATGGACCGCTCATAGTTCAGAAAGTTGACTTGTTCAGATAGAAAGGCGATTATTTGTACGGCCATATTGGAGGAAAAAACTTAGCTTCCGGTATCCAAGGGTATCCTTCGCGATGTTTGTTTAACATTTTCAGCTAGAACAGCTGTCATTGTTTTATAGATCTACGCATCACTGAAACCAGCATCGGGAAAGGTTTACCCACTATGTTATAAAGTTCCACTACAGATTTTTTATCACTTTTATAAAATGGCTTATAAAGTATGCATGAAAGGACGTGTGTGAACTGTGAAATATAAAGCAAGTAGGATTTGTCTGGCAACGAATACACGAAGTAAGGTACGAATGCCTTACTTCAGTAAATATTTCGTATATTTGCTAAAATTCTAATATGAAACATTTTATAGAAGTGTGACTTTATATTTATAGGTACATCACTATCTTAACTTCTTGTCTTCTCTTTCCTTTACAAACTTGGTGTGTAATAACTAAGTATAGTTCTTGGATTGCTCTACCTCTGGGGAGTTACTTCACCAAATACTTTAGGGACCTCGATACACATGCGTTTCGTGTTATTTTTTTCTATCAAACGATTACTAATTATGATTTTTTCTTATTTCCGCTTATTGACGGGCTGTATTCCGTTAGGTTTAAGAGAAAAAAAATCAAGAGCACTTCGATTCTTTTTGTCAAACAATCGTCTGCGATGACTTGGCGTGATGAATGGCTCGGCCTCGCTCTTCATTTAATCACAGTTTCCATTGATACAAACAAATATATCACAGCTTTATTTGAAGATGTAGCATTTGTCCTAGAAGAAAATTTTGCAGCACCATGAATCAAATAGGCAGATGTCCGTACTAGATTAAGAACCGATAAAAAATGTACTTCAAAAACAAACCGGATAAATGCAATTAGCGGAAAGTTTAACTGACCTCCTAATTATAGCGAACAAGGTATTTGCTCTTGAGATATATAACTTAGAATTTCTTTTTCGTTCAATTAAAGTACTTCTGAACGTCCCCGTGCCAGGGCAAATGGGCTTCCAAATATATTAGCGCGAATGCAAAGAGGTCACGAGATATTAAGTGAGCGACGATTCTGGAGAACTATGTTTCATGACAGCTGAATGGTAAAGGCAGCTGAGCTTTATACATGTGTGAAAGATGATTGAATACATTTCTCGGTTGTGGAAGTCTTTCAGGCAGATACTCAGAAAACATTAGGTTCAATTGATTTATTTGATAAACAAAAGTAATATTAGGAAAACTAAGGTATGTGTGTGTACATAATGTTTTTACATAGTTCTCATACAGAAATACCCTTATTACCCACTATGGTCACCTCGATCGACTTAGAAATGGTTCTGCTTCTTGTAGTTCTTCAGCTTTAACTATTTTACCCACCTTGAGTGTCGTGAACTCGGTCGTTGTTGCTGACATTGCGCGTTTGCTTAACTGGCTTGCTCCCGAAAGTATAATATCCGAGGCTCGCCTGACAGCAAGCAATATTGCCATTGGCTTTTAGATTCTACTGCACTATACGAAAACGGATACGCGGCTACTAAATCGTTCCGAGCACAGAACGATACACATTGTCGTTCCGCAGCTCCCTGTCTGGATCCTGGATGTTTCCGTTTGTATCAACCCGTAACAAAGCACAACGGAACAGTTGTGGCAGTAATAAAAGAAAGTTTAACAGAGACGCCACTCTTCGTAACCAACTGGGTCGTTCCTTCCGTCTTTTAGTTCCCTCTCCCGTTTACTTTCGTTCGTTCCGACACAGTCTATGGTGACTGTAATAGAAGCTCAGTAGCCAAACAGATAGCGTTCACTACGCTATAGCTGTACGTAGCAGACAGCTGACCGACACCGGTATATGAGGAAGTATAACGCATAAACAAAAACATCGTCGCCATCAGTCGACGAATTTACTCTTACTTGAAATGTCTCTCGGTCGAATTACGGATATAGATCTATTTATTAATTAAATAGAGTTAAAAACCTACGCTTCTGAGAGGCACTGCAAGACGATAGGCGCGCGGAAGTGCAATAGACATTCTTCCAGCCGGTACCAATATTTATAGATGAAAAAACACAGCGACATAATTTACACAAAATGCCACGGTCAGGATAGCAATAGCGTGTGCTTTTGAAAATGATTATTCTGGTTGGAACCGGGTTGCAAGGGTTGCGGCGACGGCTCACGCAGGCTTGGCACTGTCTATCAACCTGTATAGAACCTTTCTGCGTGGAAAGAGCAAGCACGCAGCTCTTATCTATCGCGCAGCTATTAAAACCGGCTATCTACAGATACACAGAGTACCGTGTTTTGTCTGAATTGAATCTAAGAACATCGTACGCTGACACGCCAACAGGACAATAGGTTGTCTGACCTGAGGTGGGTGTGCAGGAAAAATACCTGTTATGGTATTAGACAATAATCAATCTTAGTGTATTGCATTTAACGCGTGTGCGTGTGTGTTTGAGTGGAAAGTGCCATTGGTCTGTCTGCGTCCGCCTTTCCGTGCAAGATTATCAGCGAGCTGCGTGTCCCCGTTGAGCAGTCGAATACGTGACATAGAGTAAAATGGATCGTGTAAAGGGGCTGATCGAAAGTTACACTGACTTTCCTAAGAAAGGCGTCCAGTTTAGGTAAGTTAACTTCGCTGACGCTGTAGCCAAATTAAGTTAACCATAATAATAATAAGAATAATGCCGCTGTTGTTGCAACGATTGGATTACTATAGATGATTTTCCAAATGTTTGTCTGTTGAATTCTTGTAAAATAGCACCCAATAGCGAGTTCCACTAAGTCGTTATATAGAATAAACATGAGTTCTATTATGCATGTACAATTTTACTATACACGTATGCATTTTATGTACATATGGTTCATCTTTTCTTCTCTGTGACATAGTGGCCTTCGCAGCTGATGTGGGGGCGCCTGCATAATGGGCGCGCATATAATTAAGTTATTTTTGAGAACTGATGTGCATTAAACCCGAAACTAAGAGCGCATATTTATATATATTTTTTTAATTCAATTTCAAAGTTTTTTCGAAGTGCATTTAACGACTGAATTTAGCTTAGAAACGTAAAGACGCCGTTTGCAGCTGTTGTGGGTTTACGCGTAGTACGTGAGAGAGGGAGAGGCAACGCTGGAGGTGTTTTTCATTGGTTTGTTCACGGCCCAGTTTTTAATTGTGGCTACTACAGGAACCTAATTTTCAAAAACGGCTCATTAATAATCATTGCAATATCGATTAGAGCTGACCGATAAGTTATTTTTTTTTTACCAACTTCGATATCATCAGCCATGATGTATGTCACAGCTATCCTGTATCTATTTATTAATTAACAGTTTTGTTGTTAATGAAAATGTATAGTGTATATTAGATTGTTACATTTTCGAGTCTTAATTCAAATAGTTGTTTGTCGTTGTAAATAAATGCAGAATATATATATATATATATTCTGGTGTTTTATTAAAGCGCGGCAACATGGTATTATAAATGGTATCAAAGTATTAGAGCTGGGGTTGCATCACCATAACGGAGACGGTCAGTACCCATTAGTAACTTGAAGATGAGTGGCTAACTTACGATAAGCGCATTTAAAAAAAATATACTCAATTAGATTTTGGTTCGATTAAGTTGCGCATTGTTGATGCTAACTTCAGTACAGTGTAACTGCAAGTTGACGAAATTTCCGTATGTCAGAAAACGATGCTTAAATATTAGAAATAGACAATGCAATATAACACACTATTATAATAACAAAAGATTTAATGCCAACAATAAATACTTCGGATATGTGTGTGTATATATATACAATTATTTCTGTTTGCTATAGATCTTAATGCCCCGTTAAAAAGACATATAATTTCATTATAGGAAGTATTGTTGTTAATATGAATAAATAATATTTGGTTACCCATTGCAGGGATATTATGCCTGTTTTTCGTGATCCAGAAGCCTACACCTCACTGCTAGTCGCGTTACAGAATAGGATATCGGCGTTGGCTCCTGATTGCGCTGGCCTGGTCGGGACGGAATCTCGGGGTTTTATGCTGGCCGCGCCTCTGGCAATTCGTATGAAGTTACCATTTATACCCCTTAGGAAACCTGGAAAATTACCCGGTCACGTTTTTCAGAAATCCTTTGAAAAGGAATACGGAAAGGTTCAATCTTCTTCCTTCTTTTTTGTGCTAATCGTTATTAGTAGCCATTCCAAAAGAAGAAACGCATTTTGGCCTCTATTTTGTAATGACATTTCATTGATGTTTTTCATGCTGGTAAAAAGTGTTTCACGAAATGATCGGACTGAATCGGAACGGTTCTTTTGGCAACCTGCTAGTTTATTACAAAGCATGCTTCCAGCGTTTGGTGGAGAAATGTACGTAAAAAACATAAGATCTGCTACTTGTTATTGCTGGCTATTTGCCCAGACCGCTTGACACGGATTACTTCCTGGGCTAGCCAGCTTTCAGCTTAGCTAGCTATGATAAAAACAAGGGTCAAGAAAATTCAATCTTGACAATATTTTGTTGGAATATATCATTAACTATGGCATTCCAAATATGTTTTATGCTTTTTTAAAGCAAAATTTCAAGTCGGTAACAAGAACACATATCAGTCAGAGGCAAGTTTAGAGCTCAAAAAATGGTGCCCTAGAATGCAGATTGTTACCGCTTCAGAACACCCTTCTGTCCTCTGCCTTAAGTATAGTGACTGCGGTTGTACATTTCGCGCACGTAAGATCTTGATGCACTGCGGGAACCTTAGCTAGCCTATAAGTCAACAATATCAACGCAAAAACAATCGGTAAGACTCACTTGTAGCTCTTCAGTATTTAAAAAATCTCCGGTCTATTTGGACTTGGACGTGCATCTGGGAGTCGTATCTAGTTTGTTTATGTAATTGAATGCTCCTTTGTTCGGATACACACCCGTGTTGATGCTTAACACACTGCGATGCCCCTTTCGAAAGGGGCTGCCCATTGAGGTTTAATCTGTACTGTGAGGGAGATACACGTGCAGCTCATAGATTGGTGTCAATTATTGTCCAACGAGATAGTACTAATGAAATGTCGACAGTTTAAGAGGTTTATTTAGATTGTGATTGACTTTGTTATAAATTACTATATTTTGTCTTTTATATTTATATTATCGTGCTATGTGTGCTATTGCTATGTAGAAACCCCGTCCAGATATGTGTTAAAGTTATCATCGTACGGAGAAGGCACAGACGATCTAAATGGCAAGGCTTTGTCAGCGAAGCACTATTGAAGAACCTCACATAACTGAAAATTGTTATTGTGAGTATAATTAGCTCGATCAATTTGCTCAGAAGCAGATACATACACTTTTTAAGTTACCTGTTAACTGTTCTGAGAAACCTGTCGTCATGCGCCAATTAAGCTGGTTACTTGGGTGACAATTGGGTATTATAAAATTAACGCGTTTTTCATTAAGCATAGGGTCGACTGTAGTGACCCCATGCGGATTCCCATTGGTTGGGGTGACTTTTTGTAGTTATGAAATTCTTCAAACAGCGTCGCTAATCGTTGGAGACGACAGGTAGGACGAACCAACTGAAGTATCTAATCTTTAAATATTAAATCAAGAAGCAAGTGCTACGCATCTTAGCTTTACCAATGACGGAGACACGTAAATAAAATGAAGTCCAACTCTTGTCTAACCGTCATTCCAACCTATTAAATGAAAACAGCCTCGTGAGTAACCTTCAACCAAACGAAAATCAAAAATAATCTGATACGTATTCTGCGTAAATCCATATCGGGTTTCGAGCACTTTGTTCTTCACGTCACGTAAAATGTCAAATCGATAGCTAATTTGATTATTACTGATCGCTGTTGGAGCACCCAGCAAACACATTGTAGCTGAAGATCGGACGTTTTCGTACCCGGACCCGTCGTCTGCTGAAAATATTGTTTTTTTTTTTTGGTTGACGTATTGGCATCGCGCATTTTCCCTAATCGGCTTAAATTAGAAGACGCCTGTTTCTCCTGTTTGGCACGGTATTATATTGTGAAAGGGATTTGAGATAAAACTAGCAAGTGATCGTACGATTGACCGCCTGCTAGTCGCAACGCTTCGCTGGAAGCACTGCCTGCTCTCCACCAGTCATGGAGTCCTGCTGATCAAACACTTCCTGCTTTATCATGTCAAGTGTTTGGTTGATGATTTAGTGAGTTTGAGTGTGCATTCCATATGAACTCCATATTGCTTATCTCGCATAACTCTCGCGGTCTCTCTCTCTCTCATGTTAAGTATTTTGTTCCAAGTCTTATTCATTCTACTTAAGGTAAAAGCTGCGATCGCTCAAATGAGCCAATTTGTAACCCTGGGAATGAGCCTGAACCAGGACATCGACGACAACTTATGTGATGTTGCTCAATAGATACTTCCATAACTTCAGAACACTGATGTTCGTTTTAAGAATAGTAATCTGAGTAGTAACCTGTGCACTCTTTGTGGTACCTTACGTAAAAATTGACTGTCATTGACGCTCTCCCTATCAGTTTGTATTGGAGTGCGCCTCACTCATTTTCGTTAACTGTAGCGCCTTTCGGACTCGGGAAAGTTAAGTTGAGATAAGTACCAAATTTAGTTAATATCATATCACTTGGTGGTTCTATTTATCGTGTGATTCTGGCCACTTCCTACTCAGTGATGAATATTTCAGTTGAGCGCTTGCGTAGCTCCTCAGCTTCTCTGGCTGACTGAAGAATCGCGAACTAATTTCTGCGCTCTTTGGTTGTTATATCTCTCTAGTTGATAATATTGAGTTTTTACGGGTGCGTCTAGCGGTAATGGCGGGTTAGGTAAGGATTTCAAATAGTTTCCCAAGTTTCTGTTAGCAATCATTGTTCTTGGCGTCGATAAATGAATGCTTGTGTTCGCTAAGACTGGAAGCCAATAAAAATTGACAGTGCTGTAGATTATTGACGTACAGATCATATAGCATACATAGTAACGAGTGTGGACCTATTTGTTGTTTGTACGTAATTCTATAGGTTATTGCCCAGTCAGAACAGCATAGAGCAACTGTGGTTCTCCAATTGTAACAGGAAGGCAATGCACGATGTATCTGGCTTTAACGAATCAAAGAAGAAGGTGCCAGGTTTATACTACAGCCCAGTGCGTCCCACGAATGAATGTGATCAGCATAGAAAATTAGCCTGGAAAGCTACTAATAGTAATAGATTGGGTACTATGTTCTACTAAAAGTTGAAAATTAATTAAATTTTTTAAAATGTTCTAGCTCTTTTCCGTTTGTCTGTGCCGTTAAGCAAACGCTTTCTTATAGCACAGTTGACGATGTATGGCTCACCTACAAGTTATTTGTATAGCTTTCACTTTAGATTATTATAAAAGACTGACCAATTAATTTCCCGGCCTTTCGACCCATTTAATAGTACTATGAGGTTGGATTAATCTTACTTCTAACGCGTTGGGCAATCACGTAATTGAAATGGATTTCATAAAACCCGTAATGTATAAGCCATGGGCTTCGTAAGCTCAATGAGGCGGAAGCCGGATTACGGTATATCTTACGATACTATTACGTTCAACGGTGAGGAATACGTTTTGTATCAAACTGCTACGTTATTGGCACCATTAGTGTTTCGAACCTTCTGCTAAAAGTTTGCTCTCGTTATTGAAATAGGCCCAAATGTATAGGCAGGATCGTCGTGTGGATTTAGTACAGTCTAGGAAGCATACTAGACGTTTTGGTAGCATTCTTGAAACTAGATCACGGTTATGCTGTGCTTACTATTCAGTGCGTATCCAAAAATTTCATAGGGGCCGATACGACTAAAATTTAGCTATCTCAGGTATAGTATGAGCATCTGGAAGAGATCTTCAATGATGCCTTGACGTTGTGTATGGCGCATTATACATCAAGTTTCATTGAACTCTTTGTTTGGCCGCAGACGCAAGTGAGTGAGTCCGCTGTGTTACGATGATCATCCGTACGTAACGTGACGTCTAGTAAAAAGATTTAATTATTTTACTTTTTCGAAAATGCCAAATTAGTGTTGCTGTTAGATACCCAAAAATTGCATAACGGTCAATTTAAAACACCGGCCCAATCGGCCAAAAATCCTTTTTTTGTCTCCGGTCAGGAGACTTTTGTCTCGGGTATATTGTGTAGTTAGAAAACCGTTCCACCGGAAGTGATCGGCAGGACCAGATTATTTGAATCAGACCTAGGTAAATCAATAAATAAATACTAGCATGTACCGTCCCCGTGATAGCGAAGTGCGTAACGGGTTAGCTTGCTAATATTAGGGACACATCGTGGTCTGGGTTCAAACCCGACCATAGACACACTTCGTTTTGTGCTGGGAGTCAACAACAGCAATACCGGACGTAGAACCCATGTATAGATATACACTTTACCAATAACGAAGACGGTTAACAATCTAAATAACGTGTAGCTTATTGAAATTTATGTTAAACATCGTATTTGAAATGCTTTGCAAAACAGAAATCGGTGGCTGACTTGACCGTTATCGGTCGCTTCCAAAGAGCTCAGAGCATATATATTGTACCCACACCTGTCGAAATCCGACGATCTTGAGTTCTGATATTTGCAGATTCCTATGTTGTCCAATATATACGTCCGATATATATAAGCACTACGGTTCGCGTTCAGAATGACGATGCCAATATAACTGCTCATGTGTATCTGAGGAGGCTTTCGTGCTGCAGCCACCAAATATTGTTATCACATTTAACCTGTCCTTGGGCATCATTGTAACCTCCGTGTATTTGGCAGATGACCTGATCGATCTCTTTAAAGCGTCTTGGTCGCCTAACGAATCGTTCTAACAAAAGGGAACCCCTAATTTAAGCATCGTGAATTCTATAGCTAGTTAATAGGTTTATAGACGTCCGAGACGGCGTGATTCAGATTTTTAATATTAACCATGAGCGTTATTTCACTTCTATACTATTCTTCACGTCTAGTAGTTCTAGTTTCTAGTCTAGTCTAGGGAGGTGGGTCCTTAAATAACCATACTGACCCATGAGAATCTGGCAGAACCTAAAATTGGAGAAAAAAAATTAAATTTAATATAAAAATTATGACCACATGTTAGCTATCGCAAAATGTACAACTTTACATTACAAACAAAAGTATGATAAGGATGTCACAGACAGTTTTTTTTTTTGATTCACGATATTTTCGTGTCATAAATGCGAAACACGTCGCTTCAGCGGTTTCTCAGCATTGACGTACATGTCAGTGATGGGGTTGTTTAGCTACTTCATTGGCATCCGTCGATGAAAATGAGCATACATTTCACTGGTTGGCCTGTATTGTTATGATTGCTCGTGTTAGCGATACCTTAATTAGGCTTTCGTGTCTTTCGTCCAGTTGTCTGAGGGCTTGGTTGATCGGTGCTTTAATTTCCGCAACTCCCTTACCTGTTTAGGACGTGCCTGTCGACAGCACAATAACTCTGTTTTCGCCAAGGTACTTTTCCCGTCTGTAACTAAGTATTAAAACAATGTCACTATGTTGACCTCTTCGAAAATGCTAAAATGCCACAAACAGGAAGTGCACCTACCGAGTGAATAGCAATACGTAACTGGATTGGCCTAAACCAGACCTCGATAACCTTTGTGAAGCGCCGTGTAACATAGGGTCGTATTGTAACGACTGAATAGAACTTTTCCAATCGAAGATTCGTAAATCGATAACTAAGCCAAGTCGATATTTCTACAGGACACCCTCGAAGTTCAAGCAGCCGCTATTGAGAAAGGAAAAAGGTACGTGATCCTGGATGACCTATTGGCAACCGGCGGAACTCTCAAGGCTGCCTGTGATATCATTAAAGACTGTGAAGCCATGGTAAGCAGCTTGCTAAGCATTAGGTGCTTGATCGTAGTACGCTTTAGGTAAATGTCATATGTATATATAATTCGTACTCTACAAAGCAATCGCTAAGCGAATGGCCCGTTCTTTCAATGCGTATGACCGTGAGGCTAAATCGAAATTTTGTAAATGCCTCTGAGCGAGATTGGAAAGTTAGTAATATGATGTACCTGTGGAGGGACATCCTCCACAGGTCCTTTTTCACGTAAAGCGTTCTTCATAGTTACGCCGGCATCTGTTCGAGGATGCTTGCATACTGCTACAAGTGTAACTGGAGAAACTACAACTCATTAAGATGTCTTCTGTCGATTTCAATCAGGATAAAAACACTAATGAACCGTTACTTGACCATTTAGCTAGTTTCGTGTTTAGGCCGATGACTTTACTCATTTGTTAATTGTCATGTTTTACTAAGGGTCTATTACGTGCAGTTCTTTTGTTATGGCAAGCTTTTGACCACCCTGACGATTCAATTTCGATTGAAACGAGCGTTTGCTGTGTCACGGCGCTCGTCTATCGAGAACCACTGAATAGTCACTTGTCAAGCGATAACGTTCAACGAGCGCATTAATAATCAATCCATACCTTAAGTAGGTTTCTCTTCATTTATTCAATGGATAAATTTACTACGTCCTGATATAATTGCCTCTAGCGTTCAGATACTGAAAACAGTGTTTTCAGTGTTCATATTTGTCTCACTTGTACCTTTACGATTTCTGCTGAGAGTAAAGCCTAGAAATTTTTTTATGGAGTGCCTTTATCAGGTGTTCTATTTGTTTAGTAATGTCATCACGATCCGGTTAATCTGTCATTCACGATGTCAGAGGTGAGTTAACAACGACTCAGAAATTTCTAAGTCGAAACGAAAAAAGACGAATGGGCGAACGGACAGAGATCGGCAACGATGATGATATCATGGATATAAATCACAGTAGCTGTAGATGGCCATGTCAATTGGACCTTCTGCCCTGCAAAGAATGTAGCGGCGTTCGCGTGTTGCGTATCTAGTGATAATGACTGTATGGCAATGTGGCCTCGACATATCGTTGTGCTGGTCTCAATTCCTGCGCTGGTTACTGAGTTCCTCAACAGGAATGGTGTGTCTGTTAGCAAGTAAAAGAAAGCCGGTTCCTTATCATAGGATCTATGAGTTGTGTAAGTACGGCAGGTTTGATTCTGTTTAGTCTGTATAAATAGGCAGCTGGTAGGTTTACATATAAATGTAGACCTTAGGAAGCCGTCCATGCTACCTTTATTTAGGTCAAGCGCAGTTTTTAGCCCTGGGAATGATCATTCAGCGTTGTTGAAACGAACACCTTACGAATTTTATCTTTGATACGCGCTCAATACGATTTTGCGCTGAATGTTAGCGTAACGGTCAGATACGTAAGCTTATTTGCGTTTTCTAAAGTTTTCCAAAGTGTCTAACCCGCCCAGTCGTTTTCTCCGTGACTGAGGTTCATGGCCTACAATCCTATGTCCCGGTTTTCAACAACGGGTGTCTGTTTGTATCTGTTGTGGAAAATCGGTTAAGAAAAGAGCGAACAGTAGAGCACTAAGGTCGTCGCCTTGGGCGAAGCCACTCATCTGTAGGTGAAAGTAACGTTTTGTCACGCGGTCGTCCGTTGCCATGGTGTTGCCCTGTAATATCATCTTCAGCGTACTTAGTATCTCTATACTGGATCTGCCATACAATTTTTTGAGTCTTTGTGATCTTGAGCTAAAGTCAGTTCGGAAATCAAGGAACGTAGTGTAGACAAACGAACCCTTCTTGAGAAGGTTCTTTTCGGCGTCTTCGAGAAACAATGAGCAATATGGCATATGGTCCTGGGAAACTCCGCTGTTGCCGTCAAGCAGAGCTTCTTTATAGTTAAGATCAACGGTCAACCATCGCACGAGAAAACATGTTAACAGTTTGTATGCATTTCTCATCTTTGCTATACCCCACCACGATTTCATGACTGTCAAACTTTTACTCATTGGGATAAGTGTTAACAAGTTCCGCGTTGAAGTCGCTGGCATAAACCCGGCATGCAAATGTTTGACAGTGCAGATTGGCATGGGGCTATATGTTCGTTTCGCATATCCCCTAACTCTAGGAATATCCTATTCACGAAAATTGTACCGACTTAAAGATATCGTGCTTGTGGATCCGCGTTGCATATGTGCTCGCCAGTGATTATCATTCTTCCGCCAGGTATTTGAGAAAACAAGCACATCTGGGGGATCTTGTTGCGGGATTGTAGTGTGTTATCGACGTATTCCTTTGGACGTTCAGGGTCTACAGGGGAGGCAGTGCGAACGTGTGTCGTGCAGCCACAGATACGAGCATTTTTGTGCTTGACGAAAAAAGCGAGTCCCCTGCCGAGGTTTACGCATAGCCTCTAACGTCTAATGCTAACCCTCTAACCCGGTACCGTAGTCTAAGTCGTTGAGGATCGTTATAGGCCGGCCTTTTTTACTTTGATCTATAATGTAGCGATTTAATTAGACAAATCATTGTGCAATTCCATGATTGATGTTCAGATTTATAAGGAAAGACATTTTTTGAAAAGAAATCTATCTTGTTTAAGTTGTTTAGACATTAAGCCTGCGCTCTCGCGAAGGTTTCGGATTGAATTTACGATAACATCTGTGCCCACAAACGTGTAATGAATGACTGCCCCTCTCCTTTTAACTTGTGCTTTCGGCCAAAATATCTTTTGTTGTAAAACATTTGTCGCCGAACTTATAAATTCGATAAATTTCATCTATTAATTTCATCTATCGAAGAGCTCACAGATCTGATAAAGGCTGGGCGCGAGATGTTGTTCGTTACTAAGAGACCCAGGAAAGCAGCGAGCAGCGTAATTGTCCAATTGTCTGTGGGCGTATCTAGTTTTGTGTTAAGCTTTTCGGCGGTAATCGTGGGTCTCTCCCGGTTCACAAGGCTGATGCACCGAGTTCAGTCGCTTTTGAACTTCAAATAACGTAAGTGCAGGTCAGATATAACTTTTGCGTGAACTATGGCGTTATAAATCGATTTGGTTCCATTAAGGACTATGGGCGACCTTGAAACAGGAAATTGCAAGGGAAACTGTTGTATATGATGGCACGCTGATCGTAAGATCAGCGAGCTAAATGCCTTAGAAGCCGTCTACAAACTTCTATATGGAGCGCATCAAATATTTAATATACTGGACGAAAAGACGTTCAAACGGGTGTATTGGGTTCTGTTTTTTTTTCTTTGATTTTTATTTGATTTGATATTCGTCTTCTTACAAAAATTTTATTCCCTAGTGTCTGCTAAAGCGAAAAAAATGATTAAAAACAAGTGGTTCGAAATTGAATTTTTTATTAGCCTTCGTTAATTAAATAGGCTGAACCTATAGCACGCTACCTGAAATAGTAATGCCTAGCCTTTTCATGGAATGTATTTACGAATCAATGATTTAAAAAAATAATCACGAACACATTGGGTTAGCGCCCAACGTATTGCAAAACGATTTCAGCATAATGCCTTGAATCTTGAAATTGCCACCTTCGTGTGTTTTCTTTTGTTTTTCTTTATGTCCTAAACATTACGAATCACTTCATTTTTTTGTTTTAAATTATGACATGTTTGAAATAGCCATATCAGGCTGTAATACAGACATAGATCAGCAACGTTGACCGTTTCTACTGTTATCATTTTCCCCCGATCCTTCTGCTCACTGCTTCAACAAGCCCTGCTCACTATCTTTATATAAACATCTACAATCACGTATATATATGTACACGGCTGCAATAGCAGGCGAAAAAGTCATGTCAAAAATAGCTTTTAGCGTATCGGCTATGAGGTCGTATCCCGTAAAAGGTTATCTCTTTCCGTTGTTGTTGTTGTTGTTGTTGCCATTGTATCTATGATTTACCGAGGGCTTATTAACGCCTGCTGGTACCTTCTCAGAGTCCACATGTCTTCTTCACTGGCATTAAGCGTGGGACCCGAATAACGCGTTTGTGGATAGCTATCAAAAAACTGCTTTTAGAAAACAAACCACTAAACCTCAGTTCTGCTATTCTCTCTAGTCCTTTCTGCCCTTCCCTAAGCCGCTGTTCTTTTTGCCTCCTGCGTTATCCTACGAATCCACATCACATGTACTTTGTAATAGCGATGGGCACTATATACAAATCGCCATCGACAAACGCAGAAATAAAGCGGTCGAGGGGCGCATTTGCTACGCGATATGACAATTACATACGCTGTGTTTCTTTGTACAAGCTACGTAAAGCAAAGTACGTATGGAGCAGCGTAAATGGTAAAACAAAATGAAGCTTAAGGTCGGTGTACCTACCAGCGCCCAGGTCGAGTAATTAATAGAAAAATGATTCTTTTTGCGTAAAGTCGGCCTCTGTCGAATTTTCAGTGTTGTAACTTTTCCACCTGGCGGGATCCCAGAGAGTTTTTGAAGAAGCGGCATAAAACATAACGGTGGTAACAAATAGTAGAAAAAGGGCGAATCCGACCGCCCTATCTGATACGCCTACCCCACTAGCACAGCAATCTCTAAACCTTTCCTCATGCTGGCCAACAGTGGTTGATATTGGAAGTTGAGTCTCACTGCGTAGATTTGTCGGCGTAGAACTTCTTTCGCCAGCTCCGCCATTGTTTGTGGCGCTGACCGCTGATTCGGGCGACTGCTGAGAGGCTTTGGACGAGTTCGAGGACGGTAGTCGGTTTAGTGCTATGGCCTCCCGGGGAGCCATCGCTCGTTTTGTTCTGGTGTGCAATTTTACGATACGCGACGTAACTGAATCTTGTCGAAAACAAACGTCGAACAACAAGTAGAATTAGTATTTGGGCAGAACAAGTTTTGCCAGGTTAGTTAATGAAGCATTTACGGTCTTACTTTTGGTTTCTTGAAATACACCAAACAAATCTTGTCTGGACTTGAGCGTCAAACCCTAATGCTCTGGTCGCCGTACATTTAAATCATCATTACGTGTATTTATGACATTTGAGACAAAGTACATCCTATATATGTTATGTTTTCATCAACTTACAATTAAAAAGTGACCAGGTTTAGGCACATGCCGACAGCGCAGCAGCGGACGCAGTTACTTGTTCGCGTTTCGCGTCTTCCAGTGGTTGCCGTTGTAGTTGTTTCGTGGCCTGGTTAACGGCGCAAAGGAATAGGTTAGCTTGTGTATTTGTATATGCAGACAAATAGACTTTCGGGGCGCGACGACTGGTTGAATAATCCTAGCTCTGTGCGAGAAAAAAGAATGACGATTGAGTCAATGTTGGCATGAAGGCCGAGAGCTTATCATCCACAAGTGGCTAAATACATGGCATATAGTCGAATACTACGATTCAACATGTCTATGTTCAACGCACTGCGGGAGTTTGCTGTAAATATGTCGTCACAATGCCGTAGTATATATTACATATATAGCATAGTTACATTGTAGCCATATATAGTGCATGTATATATGTTTGCTCGATCGACGGGTTTTTGTACGTGGGCTGCGGTCAACCCACATATCCGATATCATTCAATATAGTATTCGCGGGTAGATTCGATCAAGGCCACAAGTGCACAATTGTCTAATCAACACAATAACATTGTGACATAAGAACAGAAAGAAAAAATACCACAGTCGAAAAGCTACCGTCCGTACACACCTTTGCCACTTCAGCTGTTGTTTTTAGCGTCCCTTGATGCTACGATGTACGGAAACAGACAAACGCTCGCTTGAGCACGTAATCACTGTGAAATATATCATTTGTATCCATCGTATCGATCAAATCGTGGGTGACCTTTAAAACTTGCTTTCGTCGATCGATTTCCCCTACGTTCTCCACCAGTTCAGAATCAATTATCTGTTATATGAATGTACTATAGATACAAAACAATAAGGATTGACACAGTCTGATGATGATGATGATGATTATTATTGAACTTCCCGACGGCAGTTGCGGGTTGTCAACACGAAAATTAGAGCACAAAAAAACAGGCCCTAGCTCCTAGGCAAACTGACTAGGGGCCGGCTTAGATTAATCGGCCAATCATTTAAGGCCTTTTTCTACACAGTTGTTTGGACACGTTGACCGTCGAGCCAAGCATTGTATTGATCGCAGTGTCTAAAAGCGCCGCAGAGCCCTCTGCTGCGGTGTTATCGCGCTGTTGGCGATCGGTGACAGTTTCGCGCGACCCCGTCACCGCTACAACAATTGCGCTCAAAACAACCGATAGAGAATCACTGACAGATAGGCTTGAGGCTTTACATTGTCTTACGCTACCCCTTACTCCCTCTGTTTGCTTTTGCATTCTCAGTCTAAACAAACCTATGATCTATTTGTGCGAACGAAAAGTGCTTGTCGGTTGCATCATGTTGAAAGCAACAACGTTCATATAATTATTAATTGGTTTCTTAGTGACTGTATCTGAACAAAAATAGACGGGTTAACGAAATTGTTTGCATGTAGCAGAAGTGTGATTTCTGGTAATCACGTTTATCCAGTACACCTCACCGTAATCGCGGCTTCAGAAACTAGCTATTTTGAAAATATTTTTTTTAATCGTTTGTACGCCAAGCGACCTTTAGGTGTCAGCTCGCCAAATATGTTTTATACAAAAGATTCTATCGAAATTACATTCGAAGCACCAACAACTCATAGCTTCAAAAACGACTAAAAAAGACGAATCATTAAAGTTTATCCGGGTGATTTATATCCTCTGTTTTCTAAAATGGCCGGTATTGTTTTGTGTCAAACAATTAAGTGTTCTTTTTTTAAATCACTTCGATGTACCTTCCAGATTTTTTTACTGAAGGCCTGTTGCAGACCTCCCGGTTTCCCCCTTAAATTCTGCCCTGATTCCTTGCCGCAGAGGGGGCGTCAAGAAAAAATTATCCTCAATAAATGATGAAGTTCTTAATCTCAGTGGAAAGTTCATCCTACGTGAAGACTTAATAATAGTGAAGATAATACCTCATCTTTTTTTTGAAGGTATGCGCTGTTTCTTGCCGTGACGCGTACGTTCTACAGAGGATTGGCTTTTTTTCTCTTATTTTTTTTCTTTTTCTACCACCAAGAATAGCGAAGAAATGCATGCTCACCACAATAAGCGTTACTCAATTTGATGCGTGTGTATATATGTTAACGATCGATGGTCCACGGTCCAACGTCGGTCTGGATGAGCGCTAAACACAGTTGCGCGATATCCTATAAAGCGACTGCAGGTATCAGGCCACTCAGTTGCTTACACCAAATGTTGTCGAGGAAGGAAGTTGTTCTCTAACGTAAGTGCGGTGCCTCGATATGCGACGGAGGGAAAATAGGCAGTCCGCGTGGAAGTAACGCATTTACTCAGTACAGTCGGTACGAGCAACTCACAATGAAGATACCAACGTAAAGCATCTAAATGGACTTTATCCACGGCGAAATTTAGCTGAGATTCGAATGCCTATTAGAGCAGTAATCGATAGGCTAGATAAGACAATGCGTTGAAATGTGAAATATCTAAACTAGCTTGTCTAATGTCTGCGTTGACCTATAATGAGTTGTTTAGCAAAGTTTAGCGGATATACAATTGAGAAGTAGTGCCAAGCCGGGCGAGGCCCTTAGCAATGTTTATGGCAGAGAGAGAGAGCAAAAAAAAAAAGATTATTTTTTTTTTTTTTTTTTACCAATTAGCACGAATTCGTATGTCGGCTATAGAATTTCGTCATTAGTGACAACAATGCGTGCTTCTCTGTCATTCTTGTCGTATTGTATTGGCTTTCATCGTATGAAAGAGCCGACGTCAAAATGAAGACAAGTCGTCATTTCCTACTGTGATTAGTGATTTTGTAGACTATATTTAGGTTTTTCATTTTTATGTCCTGAAATAACCTATTCGGCAACAGCGGCGCCCAATCCGAGGTGGCAAATTATAGACATGGAAACGATAGGGACCTAACCCCTAGCAATTGTACATCACTGTAGCACTTCCTAAACGTTTAGCACGGATATGCCGTGTTACAGACTCAAGTTATTTATGATAATCTAGCAGGGTTAAGGCAAGATTATGAAACGACAGTTCTATAATAAACTACATAAATCTTCAATCTAACCCCGCTTGTCACTGTCATACTAATGTATTGACGTTTCTTTTATAGAATTCCCTTTTTCAAGGGACCTTATTCTAAAGACACTTTCTATTGTTCTAACAATTCCTATAATTATGATCTTCTTTATTTTGTATAGATTACGATCAACTTATGGATTTGTACTAGCTGGACACAGCCACTTGTTCCACTCTAACATATATGTATTTCGATTTTTTGGTGCCTGAAATTCGTTCGTACCTCTTATTAATATTTTCGTTATTGTAAACCTTAACATCAATATGGAAATGAACGAGTCCTCGCGATGAATGGCAATGGGACAGCTCCTTCAACGCAGCGTTCTCACTGAGGTTGAACTGAATGGCGTAATCACTGCCAACGTACGTACTCTAGCTGTTACAAGGCTTAATCCAAGGCGTCTCCTAGGCATCTCCAATGCATGACCTCACAAGACAAGAATGAGTATTAGTAAAAGCATTGGCAAAAAAAGTTCGTTGAATAGTATTTGGCAACGTAAGACTTTTGATGACATGGTCATACTTCGTGTTAAGCTGCATGCTTGACCCACGCCAGGTGAACCAACCATGTGGAAAGTTGGATCAACTCTTATTCTGGACCCTCGGAGTTCAAGCCGATTCAATCACGAGAAAGATCTCTAATGGAACCAATATCAGACCACTTCGTCTTTCTTACCGATTCTGTTTAGCATAGCTATGCAGTCAAACCAGCTCCGTTGAACGTACATGCTACACGACAGGCGTAATCAAATAGAGAAACAGATGCACGCTAATCTTTAGTTGATAAGACATTCTCTATTGCAGCTTATCAGTATCGCTATTAACTGTTCAGTGCTAGGAGCTCACAGATAGCTTTCTATATTTTGATTAGTCGCTGAGGAAAAGCGCAGTTATCAATAATCCGAGCAACTGCTTCCTATGGAAGCATCCTATTGCCACTGATAGTTACGTCTGTCTCGCATGTATGGACATTAAGACATTACTTTCTTTCGTACATACATAGCTGATACAGCGCTCGCCCTCTTACGTTAAACGCTTCACCAACGCGCCGACATCTTACATTGTACTTAGTAATCACTGGTTGCAACGCCAACCAATGATTACCAAGTTATTACCGTGCTAGCATAGTCAGTGGACTGTATATAGCGGTATATAGAAGTATGTTAATTAAAAAGCACAGCAGCATAAACGAGACGTGCACACTATTATAACATATATCGATTGTTTATTTTTGAACGTGAATCCGCGTATCTGCTTGCATTGAGTCCCATGCTTTAGACCATCATTATACGTAACTCACCTCATTGAATGTCCGAAGTTTTCCTTTAACGACGCTTCACTTCTCGCTAATACGGCACCCCTCATACTCGTGGACGTCTTTATCGACAGTTCGTTGTCTGCTTACATCAGCGTCAATGTTAATCAATAATTTATCTAACGTTGAGCAGACGCGACAGTGGTTCAATCGAGTTGGTGCGGACAACAACTCATACTAAATAACTGTAGTTCGTACGGCCATGTTACGGAGTAGAACAGCTTTCAGCAATAACGTTTTTACAACGAGATCAGTTCACGGTACGAAGACTCTGTTTACAGATCGTGTAGCTATAGTTGACGCTGACCCGTAGTGCACCGCACACTAATTTCGATGGAATACAAATGAGTTTCACAAGTGAACCGGAAAACGCTCGGAGTAACGCTTTCTAAGGGCACGTCGCGTTTCGCGTCGCTGGAGAAAAACCACTCGCGTTTCCACCAATTTTCGGTTTCAATTAACTTGTTCTTCTAACGTTTAGGGTGTTTCTCTCGGTGCGTGCTATGTAGTGCTACCAATGCATTCATCATTCGAGATCGGATCGAAGGAACAGTGAACACGTCCGATTACGAAATAAGTAACGTCAAACATAGCAACTGGACGGATCATTTGCTGGTCGATATCTGCTCGATAGCTTGGATAGCGTTAGAACAATGCGCTAGTTAACATACCACTCCACTGTGACTCACTGAAAACGAGTGGCGACGCGAAGAGTCCGAAAAAAATTCTTCAAGGGACATGGCTTGCGGTTACTATACAGCATCACATAGAACTGACCATTGGAACGTGTGTGGCGAGGACGGCTGCAGTGTTCGAAGTACCAGAAGCTGTAGTAATCCTTTCTTAGAGGCGTACTCTGGATCTGGCAGTGAGTCTGTCTATAATAGGTTTGTCGTTTGACGGTTCCGTGACGAGGTCGTACGATCTCGCCAGCTCAGCATTGGCTTTTACTCAGTAGCACCAGTCACCAACAAAGTCTCTAATAGAGGTGGCAACGGTAATCATCACTCGAATATAAATCTATTACACAACGACCGTTTACAAATGACGTGTACCGGTGCTAAATGCACAACTACACAGTAGTCGTAGTAGTTCAATGGCACTTGTGATACAAATAACTGTAGTAATTGTAGTGATAAAGAATAATAGAAATGCGCGATTTGCCACCGCCCCCTTCCAACGGCAGTGGCAGAAGTAACAGTAGCGCCACAGCCGATCGCATCGAACGTTCACGCACACGGTGATGAAGTCTGTTGTCGCTATTGATATCTATATGTTTGTGTGTATTACGAGTTAATATGTCGCCGCACGAGGTGTTTATCTGAGCGTGCGTTCGTGTGTCTGTGTGTGTGAGTGTGTGTGTTTGTGTGTCTGTGTGTGTGTGGCTGTGTGTGTGGCTGTGTGTGTGTGTGTGTGCGAACCTCTCATTTAGAATATAAAACGAACGTTGTATATGGATAGTAGCTTGATAGGATAATGCTGTCTTGTCCTATGGACCCTAGCGGTGTACTTGGTGAAACTATTGCTGGCAGCGTGCCCAGAAATGCACACGTACACAAAAACACACGCACACGACTACGAGAGGGAGGGAGCAAATCACACTCTGTGAAGCAAGATGCAGATTTGTATGAACAAGGAAAAAGGAATGCAATTGGTACAATCGATGTTTGCCGCTACTCCTGATGCTGGACGAATGCTGAGAGCGCTGAACAGGCAACGCCTGCCTGACTGGTCGGCCGACTCTATTCAATGCCGAAGACAAACACCCGCGCAGATCTTCACCTATATGCACACGTATCAGTAACAGCTCATTGGTATTGCTCCGTCTGTTGTTAGTATAGTGCATCCATTGCCGCTGTCGTCATACTTCGTGACGTCGTGTTGCTTGCCACAGTCGCACCGCTGATGGTAGTGAAGACCTAGAACTCTTTGATCGTCTTCAGTATTATAACGATAGCAAGAAGACCAACGTAAAATGTATCGACGAAGCCGAGCGGACAATATGCAGTGACGATTGTCAGTCATACGACCGGCGTGTCATACCCACATTATTCGATTGATTTGGTACACGTTAATTTTAAAGCACACACACACACATAAGTACACAATTAGACAATCACATCTAGGAAAAGCGAAGGCAAACTTAGGATAGACTAGTTGAGGCTTGCTTAACATGGCGAGTGCCATTGAACAAATAAACAGATAGGAATAAATTGTCGGCGATTTTGGCAGAGTTGTAGACCATTGACTTGGTCGCTAACCGGGCGCGTGAAACAAAGATGAAAGTGAGATGGAAATTTTAGGGTTAGTCGCCGGTGGGCCTTTTTGTGTAGTGTTCTGGTCCGACTGACAATTATGGTGACGGTTAACTGATTGCTAGAGTCAGACAATGTAAAGTGAAGGTGGGCGAAGGCGGACGTCTATGTTTGTGCCACTTGGTTTGTTCTCAGTTTCGGTTGTCCGTCTCGATTGTTGAGTTATGCCGACCTTTTGGTTAGGTGAATTCTTACGGTCGATTGTCACGGCTAGCAGTGCTCTTAATAAAATACACGTACTACGTAAATACAAATACATATATGCACTCAATGAGGAGGGTGTCATGACAACGGGATAGGGTTTTTAAGAAGCGGCTTAATACCCAGACCGTAAATAGCATAATGTGAACCTGCCAATGTGGCCAATTTAAACGCAATGGACAGCTAAGCAGGCCAATTTGTAATGGGTATATTAACAACGCGCTAGATTACAGTCAATTCAATGCAAAAAAAAAAAAGAAAATATCGCCAATAACAAATGAATTCGAGACCGACATCGCTAGGTTGCCGCTAGTAGGGCACGATTGTCTCACATAGAATATGTTATTATAAAAAACAACTGGAATCTTTGCTTTGGCTTCCGGATTGTCTGCTGCGTTTAATAATTTTGATCAATTTTCGCACGTCCGAAGGGCACTCGAGACGCTGAGCGCTTGATGTATCCAATCAAGGATATTGATAGGCCAGGAGAGTTTGCCATCTCCCTGGCTGATGACTACGATAAGTTTCAATTGTGCTGATGTCTTTCACATCACCTCACATATAGAGAAGGACACTAACTTAAACTGACGAAACCGCTCGTGTCACGGTTTGCGTGATAGCTGCAACAACTGTTTCTCATACAACATTTGACCGTGGAACTTATCAATACAAAAGTGATCAGTCTAAGGGCACATTAAAATATTCCAAATCTAGTTCTAGCCATATTAAACGAATTACGTGAAAAGATATGAAATTATTATAGAGAACGTACCCGTCATATAATGGTCATGAGCTAGTGCTGCGTGATATCGCGGGTTATACGAAGGCAACTAAACGTTACTTGCCGTATCGAAGATATCGCTCAGGGCCCCGCGCGTTTTTTGTATTCCTGCCAAACATTTGCAAAGTTCTGTACTTTTGCTCCTATCGATCCCTATTTGGCATGCCAGTAACTTTATTTTGTTATACATACTTTCCTCTGATTTTATTCATCACGATCTATCACAGCACGTTGGCCCTACTAGGACGGCGTCTAACTACAACGGTAGTTAGTAGTCGGACAGAGCTCTACGATCGTAAGATGGAAAACGTTCTTACGGTCAATCTTTCACTAGTCTAAACCTAAAATAATCATGCAGATACTTTTTGGTCTAGCAATCTATGGATTTAGATGGATTAAGTAGTCGTTGACTGTCACTGCACCCGAAAAGAGTTCCACAGAAAATTTTGTTTCTATAGAGATAATTTGTTTTCAGCTTAAGAGCCACTAGTGGGGGAAATAGTTCAAATTATGGCAGTGTTAACATAGAGCGGATAATTACAGTAGAGAAATGTCTAGGTCCATTCTATTATTATTTATATTGAAGATGAAATAACGCTTCCGAAATTCGCGGCAAGGGTATGGTTCATATAATATGTGTGGATGCTCCAGTTGATGAATTTTTAATAATGGATTCGCAATAGATGCAATGATCGAAAAAAAAATATATTGACTGCCGAAGCCGAAGCCGAAGTTGACGAAAACATTTTTGCTATTTGGAAGTATTTACCAGACTACATGTGCGCTATTACGTGCGTGGTCGATGAGGTACCGTAATGCAGAACGGAAAATTGTTACATCAAATAATGGAAAGTGTTCTGAAGACCGAAGCAATCGCGTATCTTCTAGTACAAGATCCGAGCTAGATGGTGGATGCATTAAAAGTCTCGATCCAGCTTCTATGAACTTCTGCCGGCTAGCAAAGGTCGTATGTGGCTTGCCATTGTCATAATGGAAGGTGATGGTTTCTTTGTTCACCATCTCTACAGAATTTTTATCACTCGAATGTATTTATATATCGTCTTGGCGAGCTGTCGAGAGGAATCGTCGTTTTGCCAGGCGACAGCAACTCAAAATCACGATTTCTTTCTAATCCCGCCTTCCACCAAAAGAAGGTATCCTTCTATTTTCTGGATTTTTTCTACCTGCACCTAATTATGGTAAGTAATCCACTTTTCACCACCCATGATGAACCGCTTCTGAAATGGGTCGATATCGTTGCGTCTCTGTCGAGTTTTGCAGACGAAAATACGATCGGGTAAGTTCGTTTTGGTCAATCGTGTGACGCTTAAAGCATTGAGGTTTTTTAATTTAAAAAAGTTCGGTGATGCATGCTTAGCCCTTTGGTGATGTCGTGGCTATTTACGTATTGGCTTTACTCCACTTGCTCAATTCTTCAGTTTCTACATAGTTGGTCGGCTACTACAACCAGCCGGAGATTTCCTGAACGAAAGGGATAGGACCATCTTTAGGCCATATTCTAACTACATACAATTTTCGTATGGATTTGGGCAGCAATTATTTCTCTATCGTAATACAATTCTAAAGTTTTTTAAGTTAATTTTTCAAAAGTTCTGCTTTTCCTCAAGCCGCTCTATCATAAGTTGCGCGAGTCTTATGGCCATCAAACAGTTCTGTTACCCCTAGCACTGCCAGATTTCACTCTTTAAACGTCGCTAAGGCCCACTCCACGCGACTTGTCAGTGGCACAATTGAAGTGTGTGGCTTTAAAGAAAAACACGGTCGATACTTTTTCGACAGTTCAGTATCTACATTGAAGCTCCACCCAACAAGGGACAAAAACCCAAGCTTCGTTAGTGTTTTTATGATTTTTGTCGAGTAACAATGAAATTTCCTCACGTTAACGTTAGAGTACAGCATAACTGTAGATAAAAATGCGTAGGTACAGTCAAAATTCTAAAGAACACTGAACATAACAAAGCAGTAATTGTTAATATATATGTATTAACAATTATTGGTATAGAATCAAAGCCAGAGAAGGCACACTGAAGGTTCAGTGCTGTAACATGCCCATGTCAACAGGGTTATATGTAGGTATTAAGACGAGACTCACTTCGTGACTAAATGACTAATAGACTTTTGCATGCCGAAAGCATGGTGTCTATAGTGGCCGTGGCCAGGAGGAGGCTGGATAGATAGATCTGCTTATTGACTGTCGCGAACGAGTTAATAAAAGTGAGGCCATGCGGTTTGCCGCAATGAAGTCGTTTTAACTAAAGTGTGACGTCCCGTTCGTAGATCAATAGTTTACTTCAATTGCACGTCGTTTAAAGTTGACGCTTTGATACTGGATTATCCTTTTGCCTTCAGTATCCTAAGACTTCCCTAATCGTTTGTGTGGGTCGACATTTCGAAAGATTTTCTATTGTAATTTTATTGTTCGCGAGAATGATTCATGCACCCAATGATTTTTTCTCCAAAAAAGTTGTCAGAAGGGCTTTTCCAGTGTCTCACTATTTGTGAGTAAGAAAGCAGTTATAGCAGATGCGTTCTGTATTGCCTGCAAACACCCCCCGCATTATGTAGCAATCATCTTTATCATACTATAAACTTTATGCGGTTATATATAACATATATTATATAAAGCATATATGCCTTGTCAAGGCTGTGGTTATCTCCTTATTATGATACTGGAACTATAAAAAGGCGGAGTGAGATTCTAATTTGGATTCTATTTAATGTGTATGGTGTCTTCAGGTTGCAGTGTGTATCGTCGTAATGGAGCTTGAGAACCTGTCCGGAAGAAAGGTTGTTGAAGCCGGTGGATACTGCGTGGAGACTTTGCTAAAATTTCCTTGTTAACTACCGCGTTAATATCGCTAGTCATGCACGCGTGGTTTTCTCGGAAGGCGCCAAAAATATTTTGGCGCTGGAAAAAGACTTTCCAACTACATTGTTAAACGATCTTCCAACGGGTTGGATAAGTTTCTAACAAAGCTGTTCATGCACCTCTGCTCTGAGCAAATATGGCCTTGTCCCTCCATATCTCGTTTACATTCCCTCTACAGGTTGAACATTCAGTATTACAAATCAAAGCAATTTTGAGGTATATAGAGTCTGCAGGCATTGTATCACGCGTAGAGATTAGGTATAGTAGCTGACCTCTGTGCCAATGAAAGTTTGTCAGGGTGCTTCGAGGAGAATTTGCTACGGTGAGACAGCAATCGCACTACAGAGAAATACATGAAATTTTTATACTCAAGTTAATATGAAGTTCAGAGTTCATCCGACCTGTACAAATAACGCCTATGCATATGTATGCGTCTTCTAAATGAAAACAATGGTTTCAACATTTCCGATACTTCATCGTAAAGTTTGCGATGAACAGATTGTCTTTATTAGGCCGTCGTTGGTTGAGTATTCAAAATTGTGTCACATGAGCTGGTAATTCTTTGAATTGTTTTTTTGAAAATAAAGCAGATGCAAAAAAAACGGAGTCATATTAAACGGTGGTATATGGATAAAGGCCGCTTGTTTTGCCGAATCTTGCTTTGTCTTAATAATATTATCTTTAGCATACATTTTATTAAGACTTCGTTGTGTCAATAAAGTCCTATTCTACTTCCATAGCGTTGAAAATATCCACAGACCTCTCTAAACGAACACAGCGGTGGACCTAACGTATGACAGAGCGCACAGCTTACAAGAAAAGGGCGTATTACTGGCGCCGCTGGCACTGGTTTTCCACCCAAGCACTAGGACTCAATAAATATTATATATATGAATAACGTGATTCTAGGGTATTCTAGAGAGAAAACTCAACTTTTTTTCAGGCATGTTTTTGGTCCATATAATTATCACAACTTAAGTGTTTATCAGTCCTAATATGGAATGGTTTTTAGGCTTTGTAGAAGCATACTTTTATGTTTGTTATTCAATAGATTGTAGTCCTGTCGCACTACAAGGCTGCGAGGGGCCGCAAACCTTGGGAGCGCTAAATAAATTACCTTACCCCTGCGAATGGATGCATTTTATATACGAGGACTTTATTACATGGTCCTGCTTTATCCTAAAATGTATTCTGTGGCACGTAGAATATTATCTTCCATTCGCGGGTTTCCTGCAGCTCGTCCCTGCGAAAAGAATTCATCCGATATATCTTCGCTTTTAGCGTAACATAAATATCCTGTGCCACAGTCAAACGGCGTCGCAACACCAACTGTAAAATCAGACGTATGCCGTTATGTAAGTATCCCCATCAGTATCAGATTAATATGAATTATAAAAACAACATGGCGAGCAGCTGTAAGAACTGGCGTGCGAGTGGATTAAAGCAAATAGGATCAAAGAGTGTTGTTTAAATTATTGTCTATTGACCAAATCGTACCTTAGCCCACGTCTTGTGATGATAGAGTCGGAAGTCTTCATTCGTGGCCAGCTTTCCCTTTGTGTTTTGTCTTCGATCAACAATCTTGTCAACGTTAAACGTAAATTCAGCAAATTCGTCTCGCGCATGAGTCGGTTTTACTGATATTTTCTGGCGCTGGTGCTGTGATGAATCACGCTTCAGGGGTTTATAGGCGAACGTAATAATCTTTGGCGTAAGTCGACAGCCATGATGCTCGCACAATTCAGTCCGGATGCACCGACTGCTTGAAGAAACAGAAATTTAATACGTATTGGCGGTCACAGCTCAGTCTCGTCCTTACACCCTAATAAGGACGCTCTTTCAATTGGGTTTGACAAATGCTAAAATATGCCTCGTTTTCATCGCCTGAGATTTGTATGTCGAGATTGACTGATCCGAATCAATGAATAACTGTTTCAACCTTTCTCAAGAGAACTATGGCATTACACTAAGAACGTCAAGAAACCTGCGAAATCACGACACGTTGGGTTAGCTTGAACAAAATGGGTCAGAAAGCAACCGTTCAACAGCTTTTTGGCCATTCTGAAGCCCTATTTTTTTTTCATCACCAGCCGCAGATTGAGCCGAGCAGATAAAGCAATGCAGACGATTCAATTGTAGTTTATAAAAAAACTGTTATTCAAAGGAGGAGATTAATTGATACCATCACATAGCATATGCGTGAACTAATCTACACGAAAGTTTCCAATAAACATACAATGGCTGCGGAATAGCCATATGTGAATGATTCACAATTCGTTTTTAATTTTTACGTGCGTGAGAACGGGACTGCCAAAAAAAAAGCCAGGTTCATGTATCTAAATCTTTTGCCATCGAACATGTCACACCATAGACAAACAGACCAATTATTAATTGTTAAACATAATACAAAAAGTATGAGACAGAAATACCCTTGAAGAGGCAAAAGAAGTATTAGTAGAATAGGTATAAACGTTTGGAAATGTTTGTCATGGGTTTTATCAATTGGAATTTAAGATCGTCCTGTGTCCTTGAGAGATTAAAAACATGTACGGATATCCAAGCGTCTGATTCAATTCTAGACCCTGGTAGGATCAGAAGTCCGACGCCAGTTTCTCCCAGGCCTTAATGCATCGACTAAACAAATGTATATGGTTAAGGAAATTCAATTTTTAGAGAAAATTTCGCTTGTGCACTGTTTTTGTATAGATACAAGAATTTAACATTATAGATTCAAGATACGAGTTGCCTTTCTGCAAGTAGGATTACTGTAAATGGCTTGCTTTACTATATAGAGTATATAAGACCACTCCATACTATACGGAACTGCCCGACCAGATAAGTTACCTTAGCTTTCTATTAGCGTTGGATTTTATTTTTCTACTTGCATTGTTTTAACAATCAGCTACGTAAGAAAATTTATTGAGAAAGTTGATTAACAAATATGGTACATGAAAGTTGTGTGAAAGCCGGAAACCTCTTTTATTGAATTACTCACGATCGTTTTGCGTCTTTTTTATACATCGATGCTTCAGGACAGGTGAAGTCAACGCATCGGAAGTCACCTTCAATATTGATGCATTTTTCACTGCCTGTGCAATTGTTAGTCCCGGCACGGCATTCGTCAATATCTATGCATGCTGATGGCCCGTTCATCACAAAGCCTAGAAATTTAATAAAAAAAAATGGATAATAATATGGGCATATGTAATTTATAGTATCCTAATTATGCAATCTAGATATATAATCTACACCCATCGGTGTGATAGGAATCCAAGCATTGAAGTTACGGTCGCTCACTTCCAGGTTATTATGTGAAGTTGCGTAAATCACTATTTTATTTAAAGCAAAACGGACTATAAATTTGAACGACGTACTTAACGATTTAATTTTGTTCCTGGATCTGCTTTGATTTCTACGAGCACTATAAATGTTTAGACCTGTGGCCTCCTGATAAATTATATTATAGATATTATAGTATCGATTATATTATAGTAAATAGATATTATAATTATTCGGCTGTATTTCTATATTAACGCCTCTCCATCGGTACAACTGACCCAAACTAGAGCTCAACGAATATCTAGCCTTTTTTTTTCTTTTTAATGTTTCCATGCATTAAATCGCCTACTACAATTTACTTCTTCACTTTTTTCCGCAATTATTATATATCTGATAATAAATGGAATTTCTTAAATATTTGCTTCAGCTATTATAAGATGTTTCTTTAAAAATTATCCAACTGTTATAAAACAGATCGTTCGAACAGAGAGCGGCTTCTTCGAAAAAAAAAAAAGAAATAAAAGGAGTATTATTTTGTCATAAAGGAGGCAACGAAAGAAAAAACACAGTTCTAAAGTATTTTCTGTGCAAATTATCTAGAAAGAAAAACGGATTTTAACGAGTGGAGGTAATCGTGGGGGTGTTAGAGAGAAAAAAGCTCATCTCATTTTTCAAATCGAAGGTAGATAATAGTTTAATGATTAGCTTATTACAAAATAGCCGCAAAATTTTTATAAGGATTTTCTAAGTGTTAACAGTTAATCGAGCTCACGTTACACAGAAAACTAAAAACAAGACGTATTTTCTTACGGCAAAGTCGATGTTTGCTAGGTATAATCATCTGGGCAGTATGTTTCAATCGATGAAAAACGATGGAGGCGTTTATTCAAAAGAACGTTCAGAAAAAGTTGAATAAAACGTTGTTTCTGTTCTAATAGTGAATTGACTGAGGTCGTCACTTACCTGGTGGGCAGGTGCATTCAAACGATCCAATCTTATTGATACAAACGCCTTTACATAAGCCGCGCTCACATTCATTCACGTCTTAAAAGAGAACATGTTTACCAAGTTATTAAGGACAGTTAAAGGGTTAGTCTTATTATAACTGCCCCAAATACAAGGTTTCGTCTTGCTAAATAATTATGTAGATATATATATGAAACAGAAGCCGTTATCTATAAAGTAGATTAACAATAGTAATGTTTTGACTAGAACTAGAATTGATGTGTTTTTATGCATCAAAAGAGGCCAGAAAACGTTGCAATCCATCGTACAATAGTCCGTTAGGCGTATGAGCATTTTTTTCATAACGCCGCTCAGGTAAAAGGCTTCCTATACAGCTGGTTATCTTCACCTGACAGATAATCTTCACTTTGTAAGTACGAGCGAGTTGAGTCAATGTGCGTAACCGTTGCTTGGTTCTACAGACCTATGCATTTTGTTGGGTCGTAGAGATCGGGCTCAAATCCATTGTGACATGTACAACGGTACGTTCCGGGAAGGTTCACGCAAGAATGTTCACATAACGGATTGCCGACCCGGGCGATTTCAAAACATTCATCGATATCTATAAACAAATGCTTCAGAGTTATATATACACTCAAAATAAGATGTTCGACTAAAAGTCACGAACCTTGAATTATGCTTTAAACAAATGAGACTTGACTACTCTGGTCAACTCACAATAAGATTATAACGGTGGGGAACATTGTGTTATGGCTAAGACTATTTAAAAAAACACTGCGATAAATCCTTACGCTACTCAGTCTGTTTACGAGTAAGTAGGCTCTCGCCATAATTTCGCCAAAACCACTAGATACAGCGATAACCAGATAAATCATTTCAGCCATTTTTATGACACTAGAAACAAACAAACGGTTTAATTTACGGTTGAGCATAAAACAATTTCCATTTTAAATCATATTCGCTTTGTGGCTTCATTGACGACAAGCTATAAAAAAAAGTCCTAAATAACAGTATAATTGTCACATACCTTCGCAGTTTTCGCCGTCCGGTCGATATCCAAGAGGGCACTTCGATTTTTCCGAGACGTTCCAGTTTTGCTCCGCTCGAACGCAAATGCCCCTCCAGTCACTAGTAAATCCTTCTTTACAGTGGCAAAGGTAACTACCAAACGTATTATCGCAATCTGCAGTGTGTGGGTCACATGTGTGCAGACCTATAAATTCAGGCAAAAGCTCTCTTAATGTTAATTTTTTCCATACATACATACATACATACATACATACATATATATATAATTAATAGTTGTGTAAATTCACATTTAAAGGAATACCACCAGTTCAACAGCCAGTAAACAGAGTTCATGCAGCGCTTAACTAACGTTTCGTTACCAGTAAAAACGCAATCCGGATTCACCTGAAACGCGGGTCTCCTAAATTTAGTAGTTGCAGCCTTTCTAGGTTAGTTCATAGACACTGACAGCAATTAGAGAAACTCTGTACGAAAAATGCATCGATTTCTAAATTTGTAATTTTTTTTTCCGAAATTAAGTGGAACCTACCAACCTTCTTGACATTCGTCAACATCCTCACAGGTTGTTCCGTTTGCTGAGCGTTTTAGCCCTTCGGGGCACTTAATGCCGGAGTCGCGACTGATAATACGGGTGCAACGATAAGATCCTATGGTATTTATGCACTCCTGGTCGGGAGCACAAGCTGGATATTTTAAAACGCACTCGTTGATATCTTTGCAGCAAAACGAAGAACAGATATATAATTATGGATTCGTGTCATCATGTTAGCCTATATATAAGAATATTCTAGAGGACAAACGCCGATAGAAATGAGCGGATCTGTTCTTAGTCGTCAAAATTCTGTTAGTGAATAAATGTACATTGTAACAAATTTTAAATAAAGTTCCTCATTACTAAAAGTAAACATATAGTTCCTGTAAAAAAAAATATACGATTCATAATAGAACGTTAGCCTTCGCTGACCATCAATAGTTATTCTTAGAAACACCGCATATATTTTCAACGGTTAATTACTCACGCTGAAGAGACGTACTCATTTTTCGGAAGGTCGGAAGTTTTTGGTAATTTCACCATGAAAAAGAGGTTATTTAGGAATGTCTGGAGGTCCGTTTGTTTTCATCTAGTCGACTAGAGTGGGGTAAGAAACCGACAAACACTTTGGAATTGATAGGACGACTAATAGAACCGTATAGTTTTACCGAAACCTGCACGCTCACAGATAAAAAACTATATCGAACGATTACTAGGTACTATTTTCAAAGCACACTAGAATTTAACTCAACCTTTGCAGATGTCAAAACCCCGATCGTGGTAGTAGCCATCCGCACACGTCCTTCGCAGAAGACAAGTTCCATCAGGAGCTGTCACTTTACCAAGGAGTTCGCAGTTTTCGTCAACACAACGAGCGCTTCCTTCAAGATTTTCGCAACGCTGCCCGACTAAACAAATGATATCTCCCGTAAAACATTCATCAATATCTGTGCAATTCAATACAATGAAATAGATACGTGTTGTCAACGAATTCTCGGATAGTTAGCGGCTGCGTCATGAACAGACGAAATACCGTAATTTACGTTAAATGTCAATACAGTGCGGGAAGTTTTGAAATGCATTTACATACCGATGCACGTCCCGTTGTCGTGTGTGTAGCCCTGCCCACAGGTCCTATGGCAGACGAAGCTTCCCGCCATGTTTACGCATCGCGAATGCGGACCGCATGCCTCTCGATGCTCTTTGCACTCATCGATATCTGAAGAGGAATATGGGTAGGGCAAAACAAGCTGCACTAACTCGAATATACCCCAAGCTGTTTGCTATAAGACAATTATTAGTGTTTAGTTGTTTTTATGCTGTAACCTGTTCACTATAACATTACCTTCGCATTCTCCTTTTTTGTTTCTCCAGTAGCCTTTGTTACATGCAGGTTTCGTTCTGCATTCGAAGCCTCCTTCTTTGTTGAAGCAGCTTTCCGTTAATGTGCAGTTGTGAATCTCTAAAGCACACTCGTTAATGTCTGAAAATCAATCACATAAACATTTACTCTGAATTTTTATTTATCTATTGGGCATTACGTAGGAGAAAACATCATAATTTCAATACCTGCGACAAATATATCTAACGCGTAACGCCGGTTGGCAAAAAGCAGCTTAGCAGTGACTCGTCATCTCCGACCTGGAACACCTACCTTCTCAATTCAGACTGGAGAAACCAAGCGGGTGTTACCTAAGAGGTAGCTTCATTGTGTTTTAGTTGGTTGCACAGTACTGTATGAAGACACCTTCATTCACGGAAAGGAGCTCATTCTTTATTAGAACTTACGCTCTTAGCTAACGCCTCGCACGCGGCACGAATATCAGGGCAGTCCGACTGCTTCGGAGTGGTTTGACGCAGTCTTAGAAAATAGCCTAAAATGGTTAGATTGGATAATTCTGAAAACTATATATAAATTCGTATCGGTCTGTGACCTTTGAATGAGGGGCAAATGAAATTTTGCGCTGGCTATACAAAGTTGAACGGCAATAACCTTCGCATGTCTCGCTGCCTTGTCTGTCATATCCATGTTTGCAAGCCGGCAATTGCTTGGCCGCGCATCGGAAGGATCCTTCCTGGTTGATACATGTCTCCAATACGGTGCAGTTATGTGTACCTTCCATACATTCGTCGATATCTAAAATTATGGGCGAATACTACAGATTATTCAACGGAACCTAATGTCAGCATAATTTTTATGATACAATTCGTGGCGTAGAATTAATCAGATGGATGTTCTTTTGCACCTACCATTGCACTCGACCGTAACTGGGTCCACCTTGTAACCTCTATGACAGTGACTGACACAGACGTATTGACCTCCACGATCTACGCATTCTTCTTCAGTCGAGCAATCGTGCACACTCGAACATTGGTCCACGTCTGATATCATTAATATCAGAAAAATATGTGGGTATGGAAAAGGCGAGCGAATATAAGACCAGGTCGTTAGGTGTTGCTTCAAAGCGAAAGACAAATAAATCGGCAATTTAATTATATCAACGTGCAGCGAGCCATATGTAGCTTACTAACCCGCATTCATTCAGGATTCCTAAGGTCCACATATAGTATATATATATATTTGTTGGAGAGCCTCAAATTTGGTCCATTATACATGACTATGGCCTTCTTCCAAAAAAGAGTCGTAATTTTACAGCAAACGTAATACGTTATAAGCCGGAGCGTATTTTTTGAAAAGACTTACCAATACAACCCTGATCTATATGAAATCTGTAGCCAGGCTCGCAATCCGTCCATGACTTATTGCGGCAGTAATAGTTGCCGAGAGTGTTCATGCAAACCTCATTTGGGGAACATATGTGTTCCCCACTGACGCACTCATCTCGATCTGCGGTATGTTAAATGGCAAAGCAGGGCATGTTGTGGGGGTGGGGGGAGGGGAGGGGAGGGGAGGGGAGGGGAGGGGAGAGGGTGAAGCAATTTTTGAAAAAACGTTTCATTGACACGAATTGCTTATATGTGAGTATTCGCATTGATGAACTTGGGCCAGCGGCACCCGCAGAAGAAATGTGCCGATAATAACTGAAAAGGTGGCTAATGCTACGAGTTTAAGCGGGAATAATTTGCTGCATCATGACTTTTAAACATAACTGAATTAAAAGAAAGGTATGTTTTTAGAGTAAGCCGTACAGTCGTACGTCGTCTAAGGCCTCTTCGGCCAACAAGTGCCCTATCGGTAAACTTGCCTACTAGAGCTCTAGTATTTTTATTCGATACCTATCAAACATGGATTACTAATCAATAGTCACTCAGCTAGCAGGATTGAATGCAAACCTATACAGTCTTTGACGTGCCGACTATAAAAGAATCCTGTTGGGCAGTCAGGAATCACCTCGATCTTCTGGAGCTCGAAAACGTTTGATGAACACTCGTATCCTCCAGGTAGATTAAGGCATATCGTACCGCGAGGGCAGGAATACTTCCCCAAGAAGCATTCGTCGATGTCTAAGATAGGATCACACCCAAAAAGTACTGATCGATGATTAAGACTATAAGCTATAATAATGTACATTTGTACTTGCGAAGCGAAGAGATGTGCGACATAATAAAAAAATATATATATGTTCTGTTACAGTTGCGCAAGTAGATAAAAATAACTTAATTATAGTGATAATAACATAATATATTTTTTAGCTGATTGGGCCAGCATATAGTTAAATAAATCATTGTAGATAATAACGCTTTCAAGATGTATAACAAAGAGACTTTGGGGGTAGCCTTTTATAAATGTATATATATATATATTGATTAAATTATTCAATTGGAATAAAGATTGCAAGTTACTGTTTCAGACGGTAATAATTTAACCTTAAAAACAACCTCTAATATAGCTAAAGGTTACAGAAGTTGTAATGCTGGTGGCATCAAAACAATTTTACTGATTCGAGAATCATTCGGGACTAAAGTGCCAAAGCTCAGACGTCGTTTTTGCAAACTCACTAAGTAAAAACATTTAATAATTTTAAACGGCACACCACTCGTGCTGTTGTTCGGGTTCGTTTGGTCGCTACGATTGGGATCGTACCGTTCTGCGTAACCTTCTTACTGTCCGTGCAAACTCTGGCGTATAGCGTCAGAGTAGAGTGGCTAGAATATTGAAGTAACTTTCATTTACCTTCGCATGCCAAAAGCGTCCTATTGAAGTGGTAACCTTGGTTGCACATTAACGGAAAAGGACCCGGTAAACTCGATAATCGTCGTTGCTGTAAACTGAGGCTTCTCCAGGTCGCCGTTGAAGCGGAATGAGTTGTCTGCTGTTTGCAGCACGCTTGAAACGTCCTATTCAAAATGGGTTCTCCTTCCAACCAGGGCGCCGAGCATGTCTCGGACACAAGTCCTTCTCGACAAGCTGTACAGCATTCCTAAAATACATGCAGTACGAGCTTGATATGTTTTCTCAATAGGCCCACATTTCCTATAAAAAATTATGTTATGAAATTTAAAAGCATCATACAGAAACTTTTGCGTTTAGTTAAATTTGCTGCTAATGTACAGAGTACAAATGGAGGCGCATTTCCGCCTTTTTTTTTATTACTAGACTAGACTGAAGTGGTATTCTAAGGGACAGAAATAAGAGACAGACCTTTTCATGCAGAGCAAATTGTTTCCGTATAAGCGAGGTACTTTATATATATAATTTTTCTCTAGTTACCTGAATTATATGATAAATGGTACCCCATTATATCCATATACTATAAGTCGTAATCTAGATTCTATTTGTAAGACATCATTCGATGATACCATCGAACCAAATGTTTTAAACGATCATATCTCGTGTATTTTTTCAATGAATGACTCATATACGCGAGGCAAGTGTGTCAAGAACACAGTCACTGGCAATAGAATTTCTAACGTTTCAATGAGGTTCTGGTTGTTTTTCTACGATGTTGGATTCTCCAATGATGACATTTGTCTGCATCGTTTCGTGCGTGAAGATGAAGTAAACAAGTGTTTATACGGCAGTCGCTTTCAGCTACCGCTCGTACGTGACAATGCATTTAATTGAATTTACATGAAACAAGCGGACGAACCGTTGGAACGGGACACTACAACGAATAGCTATGGCTTGTTCGAGCTAGATATACGCGAACACCTTCCATGACATATTACCCTATGCCTAGCTGAAGCCTGATTCAGGTATATAGCGTCTTGATTTTTTCCATCGGAATAATTCAACGATCATTTTACCAGGTGGAAACACCATTGCGTACTAGCAGGGCATACGATTGATCCTATTAAGCAATCCTGCATTACACCTGTCATCTTAGTAACGAATTGCTATAAACGCACTCTGAAAAAGCTAATGCCGAGGCGGAGTATCTATAAATCTATCAGTACGAAAATCTATAGTTTGTGTCGCTAACTAAAAGTTCTTAACTTTGTAACGTTTAGTGGTGGAATAAGGAAACCCGAACCGGCTGGTCCTAAATAAAGGCTTGCTCTGTGTGGCTTAACTGCATACGACAAATCATTAATGCATGTAAAGCGAATTTCGAGGACTCAGGTACGCAACTGATCCCTATTTTCGGGAAAATAATGTTACGATTTGTAGGTATATACGGTACTGTACTGTATATACAAGTCATGGAAATTTTCGTCCACTTTTCGTGAGAAAAAATCGAAATTAGAACGGATTACTTAAAAAAAAATAATGACAACTCGAATGGAATAAAGCAAATAATTAAATTGTCGCGTAAATATTAATCCACTATGATGACGGCTATGTTAACTACGTACTACCGTGAGGATGCCTGTCGTTGGTCATCTTCAATGTATTAGAAATTGTTGTACGGCCGTTGTCCAGGTATTCGCTTTTGAAGATCCTGGTTGACGGCCTCTTCGCATTGATCGATGGCCTATCGTGAATTTAAGTGCAGGAAGTGCAAACTTACGTTTGCAAAGCCACTAACCCTTTTTTCAGTAACAGAATTAAGTTAGACTATGTTTTTGGTCACAAGATGGACATTGGACGAAATTATATTATTTATCAGAAGTCGCAGTTCGAACTGCGCAACACCCACTGCTATTATTATTAGGACCCAATATAAAATAAGGAAGACAAACAGGTGAACTTAATATGGCGTCTTTTGTAAATGTTTGTGCATTTCTCTTGTATAAAGTGTATTTCGTTACTGTTTATTGCACAGATCCAGTTCAAATTATTACAAACCGCCTGATTTCATGTTTCCGATGTCAAATCGAGCTTTTTGAATGATCTCCATGTTTTTTTACAAGCAGCAAATGGTCTAACTACATCGGCAAGATCCATACCTACAGCCATAGTCAAAAATGGCTAAAAGCAAGCCGACTGGACCTCAGCTGTGATCGTATGATCGTTGCAGCTAGCATTAGTTACCGGTTTTTGTTTTAATTAGTTTCACTATAGTAGTAGATACTTCTACAGTTTACAAAGATCATTATCGGATAGTGTTTGCGCGCTAATTAAGCATTATATGCTCAACTTATTGGCATAAAGTTCAAAAAAATAGTAGACACAAAGAAGGAACAGTAGACGAAAGACACAAGTCCAAGCAATAAAAGTTCCGGCTTTATATGGCGGCACGAAGTTCCACACAGGTTTTTTTTTACATATTTGGTCCGTTCTTTCAAAACATTTCCTTGGTATAACCGGTTCGACCCAAATACTCCAACAGACCAATCATATTCTGTAATGATTTTTGCCTCATTCAGCAATTCAGAGTGGGTGCTGTTGATTTGTCTGTGGTAACACACTCAAACCAACCATGAACATATGGCGAAATCTTGACTGATATTCGTGCTTAAACTGAAGGAATAACCATCCCATGGACACTGCTCCCATTTAAAGTATTTATTTAAAAGCACACATATTGTGTAAGCTTGACTTGTATTTTTGTCAGTGTATATAATTGTTTCCAGATAGAAAAATTCTGTTTTGTGTCTTCTGACCTCGGCCTTGGCATGGATGAGCTCTTCGCAGGGTTTCCCTGAACGAGCGTGTTCACGTCCTTTTTGGCAATTTTGCTCGTTGATTTTTCTACGGCAGCAACGACTGAAATAACCGAGGCACTCCTTCGACTCGTCGAAGGAAAACTCTTTTTGTCGTAGATTTGCAGCAATCCGTTTGCATCCGCCAGTAGTTTGCGCTAGAAACTCACCGAATAGACAGCAGCTGTCTGAAAATGAAGTAAATTAAAACAAGCAATTATGAATCTATATTTAGTAAAGGTGGTGACTATGAGCTTGCGCTAGTTTCGTTCGTTTTCTGTTAACGACGTAGCCCTAGTCTCACTCACAAGCAGCTTGTTACCCTATAAAATCATAAAAACAAGGGTCACAACCGTCGATACGAAGTATGTGAGCGTGTTCATATATTGCCTTATCATGACTACCTAATGAATGCTAGTAGGTCAATTAAGGGCTTCGAAAGCTTAGTTTTCTGGCCAGCAAAACACGCAGTGACCTTTTGGGCATTGACTCGTTCTGCAGACACGTTTTCACAGCTCTTAAAGAGAGTCCTCATGTTACATTAAGCTATCGGTAATGTTATTGGCGGTTTAGACTCACCCTCAATATTGATGCTTACCTACAAAGGTAAATCCGTATGATATCTGCCACTCTCTATGATTTTTTTTCTCTTATCAATGAAGAAATTCGTTAGCACATTAACACATTAAAAAAATAGAACCATGTGTTGTTACTGATTGACACTTGTCCTTGGATAGATCGCAGAAAAGACCGATGCTGTTATAAAAGACATTATCTCTCTCCTATGAGCCGAATTTGGCAGCTGCCTCATTATTATACCTTTCTGCATAAGAGACGCGGACCGCATCAAGCAACAAATCACTTTTTCTCTCATGACGAAGAGGTTGCATGAGACTGTGCTGCAAAGGCAAGGGCCTTTTCGACCCCTTGGGCCAATGAATAGAGCTACCGAAACACAACAATGCCACTTCAAGAATGACCATTGTTATGATTTCAGCGTTTGACGCCAGATCACCAGGCCGCTTGATTCCGGGTAAGGTTAGACCCGTTTGTATTTGTTTCCGGAGGAAGTAACGCTGATGCCACCGCAGTGCAGCCAGTTGAATGTTTGGGGCCTCCGATAAATCGTAGTAACTGCGTTCAGGGGCATTTCCTATTCTATGAATGCGTCGACGCACGTCACTCGTTCAAAGAATAGAAAACAATGTCTACACATTGCTTCTCTACTGGCACAGTGTATAAAGCATGAGTAGAGATCGCGCCGTGTCGAGTAACTCAGTTCAGCAAAAGAAAATAGAGAGATTATTCATAAGTGGACCATCTTGCGTGACCTTGGGGACATTTAGCTGCGGAACAACTGGATAAGGTCTTTACGTGAAATAAACGAACGAAGCGCTACGCATTACGTGATCCATGGTCAGAACGGTGGCCTTAATCGTGATCAAGTGCTGGTGGATCTTAAGGGCGCATACACACTTTCAAACAACACATATGTCAAGATGACCACTCACGCTTGATATAACACTTATTTAAGTCAGCGCCGCCTGATAAACGCATGACGGTACGAATCGCTCTGACATTTGCCTAATGGTGATGATTTCAGTGCGGTCAATCTCATTTAGGTTATACTAAAGCATGCCCCTCCGTAACAAGTCATTTTTTGGCCAAAATTTTCCACGTTAAACTGAATACTTTTCCTATCTTAATGAAATGAAACGTAACGAAACGAATGGATTGTGATTTAGTTCGCTTTACATAGAAAATGTCGGTCGTCAATGATTGTATCGCCGTGCATCGGCTATACTAGCATCTCCGAAGCCAAGGCGTTTTTAAATTGGCTTGTTGCAAGAGAGCAAGAAGAGCAGTGAAGACTGTAAGTGGACCTGAACTGGATGTATATTATCTTCCCTGTCCGTAGACGAATAAAGAAATCTCCATAGAGAGAGATTTGATGAACAATAGCACTCTGCAAACATGCTGTACCTCGAACGAGCTTCTAAACTCCTAACAAAATTTATAATAGACTGGAAAACAAATAGGTTTGCCAACCTATATTTCGATTAGGCTAGGCCTAATTTTATTGGCCTGGCCAAAACGTTATAGCATTCACCTGAACGGGTTTCATATACGCGCCAACTTGGGCGTCGATTATACTTTCCCCTATGTATTTCACTTGGAGCATTGTTAGTTCCATCAAGCATCAACGGTACATGACTTTTTATCTAGACAGACTCAGCCATTTAGTAATTGGTCATGAACGTGCTAATAAAATTCAAGCTCTAGTGCTGAGTGAGTGCTTCGAATCAGGCAGAGTACGTTTTTCGAGGTGGTGTAACGGTCGCGTCATTGCGTATCGATCTGATAGCCCGAGTTTGGATCCATGCGTAACGGAACAGTCTTTATGAGCCATTTACTATGTAAACACGAGCCGAGGTAAAAGCGAAGGTTTTTCAAAAGGTAACTCTGACGTTTACATTCGCCAGTAGCATTCTGAACTTCAATCGAACTAAGACCAGTGGAGATGACCAGTAAACGCTAAGCTTAGTTATCTCATAGGGCTTGAATCGGATGATTAGTCTCGGATGCTGATGTACGCGCACCAGCCGCTGCCTAAGTCGGTAATTGTTTCTTAACTAATATAATAACTTTAAATACAGGAGAGGCAGTGAATTTCAATGTGAATAGTCAGAATTTTCAAGGCCAAAAACCGGTAAGCAAGGGGTAAAATTAAGGGAATTGTCAAAAACTTGTTAAGCGCCCAAAAAGATCTTCGGCGAAGGAGAAGTATCCAGAAGAAGCTGCAAAAGTACAAGTATAACAGCGCTTGTTCTACGGAATCTGTATATAAATCTTTATCTTTATAGTATAAACTATAAACGCATATTACAAGCAGCTCATATCGTTTGCTAACACACGATAAAGTTTATTCGCTAGCCCCTTTTATCCTATGCGATGACTAACTCAATACGTTTCTACCAATCGTATAGAGAAATCTACGTAACTTACTATTTTCGTCCATATTGTAGCTGGATCATTTCAGCACTGAACAGTCGAATGTTCTCTAGAGCAAAAATAGATGCAACCTTACGCAAACCTTAGATGTCGAGATTTTATTTGATCGATTTCGAAATTCACTAAAGTTGCTTTATATATATATATATATATATATATATATATATATAGACCAACTTTAGTGGCTTAATAAATACTAACGAACATAGGATAGCATAAATACTTAGTAACTGGCCATGTACGGAGGCTAAATTGCAATGATTACGGATGCGGCCTAATCGTGATAGTGAAAGAAAATGAAAAACAATTTAAAAAAGTGTATGCAGTATCTAGTATCTGTCCCTTATCTACCATTTGATGAAGTTGTACGGTCAACTCGAAGTGAGCACACGAGAAGCACAAGGGTCCAGCCGGACGTCATTGGCGATCGGCGCCAAACGTTTGATAGCTCACTCATCCTTTCAACGGTACCCAGCTGTGATTGTTAGTAGGCACAGTTGTTCTTAGTAGCAAGAAACTGTTAATTAGCGCACATAAATACACGTGATCGATTAGACAAAACCTCTTGGAGTGGGCCGCGTCGTTTACTTCGCTGTGGCCGTTTTACTGTGCTGTTATTCGTTGGGCCTTGGACGCACTGCAGTATTGTCGTTATTGCTAGACGAACGGCACTCAAGCGTATTGCACGCCGCTGACGCGCCGAACTGCTTTCGGCAACCGCCAAGACATTACGCGGACGATCACTGTAACGGAACGAAATAATTTGGGCTTTCAATAGCAAAATGATGGAGAGGACACTCGATCGTATGGTAGCATTGGCCGCTGCCTAATCACTAAACAAAGAAAACTATTGGAGAGAGAGAAATAAGTACGACTCTGCCACCCTTGCCTAGCAAACTCTGCCGCTGGGTATAGGGCTGATGCACTTTCCGACGTAGGCACGTTCCGGGTCGGAGAAGACCAGGCTAAAGAATACATGTACCCGGGATGAGGGGAAAACTACGATGCCCGAAACGTTCGTTCAGATAGGTGTTTATAGAAGTTTTTCATGTTAATCTTAAGTAATCATAATTGATCAATATAGCCTAGATCCTGCACAGTTCAAGCAAGGCCTGGTGACCCAGTAACGCTGGACTGACATCAATCGGCCCACGTTGATGCTAGACTCGATCCTGACAGTCGAGAAAAGTAGATAATTTGAAAGTTCGGTTCATTTTTTAAATCTTGGGTGATTTTCGGTTGTCACTCTCACTATATCTAGCAACGGTGAATATATACGATGTAACGTACATTCGGTGGCAGATCACGCCCGCAGTTGAATGTTCACTATCTGCATGACGACAACAGTTCGAGATCAACAGGTCCACTGAATAGGCACATTTCGGGTGTGCGGTGAGAGGGAAGGGCGCGTATAAGGTAATTCAACAAGAATAGACATTAATGAAAGAATATTGCGGCTTCTTCACTTGTGTTCCATGATTTCAAAGGCAACAGCGCGCTTCTTCCGCTAACAAAAATAGACAAAACGAAAGAAACGTACATCTCATTGACTAGACGCAGATTGCCTTCATTAAGACGTTTAGTTTCGTGCTGAAATAAGCAAGATGCCTAAACAAATCGCCAATGGCTATAACAGACATAAACCTCGAAATGTTTTTTGCTTTGCAGATTCTAGTTTTAGATATTTTTTGGCCTTATCGACACTTGAACTTCTGTACAGCGGCGGGTTATTACTCCTATACATGAAACGTCGATTTATTTGATCTCTTTTGTAACAGATAAATGTACCATTCTTACCTTTAAGTGTCACGCGTAGTTGGTGAAGAGCTGCTTTACATAAGTCTTCTGAGTAAAAGGATTTCTCATAGATCCACAGAGGTATGTCCGTTTAGGGAAGTACTTGCTTACTGCCCTATCGATAGTTGCGAGCCGTCCGCGTGTATAACTTTCGATCTCAAGGTTAATTAAGAAAATTACTACTTATTTGTAGAAAAAAAAAAAAAAAAGAAGAACTTTATTGGCTCTTGCATGTTGTACACTGTAAAATAGTTTTATGACTATTATATGATATAGGCTCACTTGGTCACCAATGCCTGCAGCTGGTTCCACCATTTAGAATTGATAAGAAGATTTATGTAGTTCGAAAAACGCCAATTGTCAAACATGCAATTTTCACTAACAGTCGGACACTTTCAAATGTCACAGTAATGTTAGTGGTCATAGTAAAAAGATGATCATGATTAAGTTAAGTGACTTTTTTTTTGTTTTTTTTTTTAACAAACCCATTCTTTGTGACTTTGTTATTGACTCGTCAGGCAAACAGAAATGATCTATAAACAAAATAATGGTATTCGCCACTGCGAAATAATCTAACCTGTAAAATCGGCGTCTTTTCAGCGACTGTCTTGTGATATGGACTCTTTCCAAACATACCTCATGAGCTCCCGAGCACAGCTCGCGATTATCTCTACCTCACAATCTAGTCAAGAGGGCACTGCATAAATCCGAAATAATGGAGCTCGTAGCACATTACAAAGCTCATAAATTGTAGACTAATAGTTAGAATGACTGTTATTTATTTTATCGAGCGGAATGCTTGATCTACTTATTCTGTCATTGTGACACAGAAGGAAGATCTCGTTCGATGCTTTTTTACGCTCATTTTTAGCTAATTCCGGTATCTGAAGTCTGCGTTCTCATCCTTGTAATAAGAGTTGAGTGTATTGCAATAATGCGTACATGCAGAAAGATCGTACGTTATTTCTACGACTTATCGAAAGACTCGTTTGTGCCAGCAACGGCATTTTTGTAGTAAAGATATAGTCTAATTCTCGTTAATTTGCTTGCGCTTGTGAATATAACTTCAAGGTCTATTTACTAATATTACGTCAGTAAAGTTTAGTATAGGTGCGCGTGTGATGAAGAACACTGTGAATGGAAAAACGAAATGAGCTCTTTCGTTGCACACCTTCACACCCATAACAATAATAGTAATGTAAACGTGTGGCTGTGTAATTAAAAATTGATTATAATATCGCACTTTTAATTTTATTATGCTTTTTTTCTTTTTAACTGATGATGAAATTTAAAGCGTTTCTAATACATTTTTTTGACCAATAGGATCTATCTCGTTCTATAGAAGAATCAGTTTTATGTAGTAGATATCTTTTGCTAAAACCTATTTCATGTGTTCCCGTTCGTACGGTTCGAACGATAAAAACGTTTAGCAGTCCCATTAAACGTATTACTAAGTACTAGATGTAAATAAAACACATGTGCCTTTATTACACTTATAATAGAAAAGACAATGGTCGAGCATTTGTGAGGAAGTCACTCGTACGATGGGGCGCTTCAAAACGAGAAACTATATAACAATCAGCTCTCTCAACAAAAGTCACTTCGACAATATCAGCGCCCATACACGCTGCCTATCTAAGAATCATAAACAGCTCAGTCATTTGGACATTTTTTTTTACGGAACTACAACACATTACCAGAAGCAATGACGCCCAATACTGCAACGACGTCTAATAAAGTGTGCTTGACTAATATAAAAACGCAATTTACTTCAATTCAAATGCTCCTTTATTATATCATTATTAAGTATTAAGTATTTACATTATGCACACTATGTAGATTGCGTTTACGTCAACTATTTACAGAATTATGTACAGTAAATTTTTTTCTTTCGTTTTATCTCTCTCTCTCTCTCTCTCTCTCTCTCCCCCTCGCCCGCCCTCTCGCTCTCTCTTCTTGTCGCTATTTTTCTGTCGTTTGTCATTTTTACATACACATTCTAATAATTTACGTATATATATATATATATATATATATATATATATATATATATATATATATATATTTCCATCGGGCAGAACGCTAGGCGCTCCCTGGTATTTAGTGACCCTCAGCAGAGATCAATCACTAAATTTGAATTATTATTAATATTATCATCCTCATTATATATATATATATATATATAGACGGAGAGAGAGAGAGAAGATAACACCGATAGTAATGTGGGGTGGCGGGTTGTTTTCAACTCAAGAGATGTACGTGGAGAAAGAGGAAGATTAGTGCTAATAGTATTAGCCCAGTGGACAATAAGCCATCAGTGAGTCGCAATGATCGGTATTCACCAGCGATGTTTTTTTGTCAATGCGTCGACACGGACCGTGACCGTTACAGATCATCTGCCCAGCGGCCATATGGAACGTGATTTATCGTCATAGTCATTTACAGAGCGATAATAATAATATTAATTTTTATAATAGCAAAGAATTATGTTAGTGGTAATGGTTGTAATAGAAAAAATTGTAGTTATATGTAATTTCGTTTATCACTCAATGTCTCTTCCTAGCGATCATCATCATCATCATCATAGGTTTCTGCTCACTGGCACGTTCTCTTCTTTGTCCCGTTCGTCGGTGGACATATTAACTAAAGAACTATAGTTTAGGTTCCTGTTTGTATCGCAGAGGTAATCGTTCATGCTGTTGTCGGCCACCGCCATCCATAGCATTTTTCAGCGATTAGGTTGACAACAAAGAGCTCGCTGCTTTCATGCAATATCAGTAAACGATATAAATTATTCTTTATGTTGCTTGTTCTTGCTTCCGATCTGTGTTGTCATTAGTGTTGTAAATGATTGGTTTTCTTTTTCAATTTTGAAAAAGCCGAAGATAAATAGATTTACAAACAAACACTTACGCGCGTATCCATACACACACACACACACACACACACACACACACACGCTCGAAACCGAATTGCTTGAGAATTTCGTTAGTTTGAGAGACGGCCATTCTGGCACCATTCATAAGTTACGTACGATACAGCGATCGGTCCCTGTAAACTGTTGGAGACTGGTATCTCCTTTTTGCTACCTGTCACGCTGGGTCTTTTGCTGCTCCACTTGGAAGAAACAAAGACATTGATGATGTATTCCTACTACTAGAATCACTTTAAGCATCATCATCGTTATTATTATTATTATTATTATTATCTAGATTGATCAATAGCTCCTACGGTTTTCTCACTCTCTGCGAATACCTATATACTTCTATTTCGGTCATTGGTTTACTGATATTTCGACGTGCATTTCAGTGAATTGTTACAGGTGACCTATGGTAAGTTTGTCGATTGTATCGTTCTCTGAGATAAAAGACAGTAGGATTATCCAGTGTAGCAGGACGCATGACGGCTTTTTCCGTTGCTGCCAAACGCTGCAGTTGTTCTTAACTTTCAATTTGTTTTTTTTTTTACATACTTTCTCTTCCGTTTACATATAAGTGACAAGACGGCAAACGCATAGCTATTTCCGTTTGATTCGTACCGTGGCGAGGTGTGTCAGGCTTCGAAATCAGACAAGAGAAGGTGGTGACACTATGGAGAAAAATCAGAGGGCACCATTTATGCAGTGCGTGCAATTACAGTCGTTCATCACATTCCGACAGCAATACACAAATGCACAATTGATGGTCTATTGTATCAGTATTTCGTAAGTACTTTCACTCCTTACTAATTCTATTTTGTTTGACGCGTTTGGCTTTTTTTTTACGCATTTCTATATCATTATCAAGGTTCTGGCGTATTATAGTTGCACGCCTACAGTTTTGTGTTTCACCTTGTTTTGATTCACAGTTAACTCGTTCTTTTCACGTTACCTTTTTTGATGCATTGTATTTTTTGGTATCGGCCTACCTTTCAGAACCCTCTTTTTATAATACTAATAATAATAATAGGGTTTCAGTGGTTTTTTTTTGCCCCTTTCTCAGCTTAGCCTGCCCCATTTTATTCTAACGTATCAGTACCGCTAAGGGCCGTCAGATCGGCATCGTTATGTCGTGGGAGTGTGGTGAGGTCAACTCGCTTCTCCGTATTAGTACCTCATCCATACATTTAGTCATAATTCGTTCACACTATCGTTAAGCACACAGTCACATAGCCAGAAAGCCACCCGTACAGCAGTATTCCTCAACAAGTAACGAATCAATGTGAGGAGGAGGATGATGATGATGATGCAACCGTGAGCTTTCTCAATGGTCTTCACTTCATCTCCTAGCAGATTCTCCATCAACTCTTCCGTCTCCTCCCATAGCATAAAACATTTAAAACCCCGACGACGTCTTTACACTCACTCACTCTCTCTCTCGCTGTCTCTCTCTCGTCCTGTTTAGTGCATCACTACCAGTTTCTTATATACGCCATCACCTCATACTTCATCTGCTGTTTATACCATTTATATCAGATCACGTTTTCTATTATATATATATATATATATATATATATATATATATATATATCCATTTCCATCTCTTTTCCATATATATATATATATGAGAATTTATCCACTTTCATCCGGCAGTCTCTGTTTTTACCGCTAAAAGGACCGCGCTTTCTATCCGTCTCGATTCGTTAGCTTGCTTAGCTCAAATAATGATTTTGTTTCTCTTCTAGTTTACTTATTTGTTACTTAGCTGTTTCCCTGTTGTGAACAAGATCAACCCATGACTAGATGTACGAAAATCCGCTATTCTATTAAATCATACGTTTTGAGCTGAGGGTTCGACTGAGGCGTTTCGTTCGAGGAGGTTATGACATGATTAACCGGGGTCCTGTTTCCACTTCTGTTGTTCCATAAATATTTTTTACGGCTGGGGTAAGTGACCGTTTTGGATCTGTTTCTCGTTATTTGTTCAGCAGACGTGTGTGTGCTAGACAGGAAGTGCTATATAGTAGCGGTATTAATGAGCTCTTGTGTGGTGCTATTAGTGATCATGGTACAATGAAGAATTGGAACCGATGGCAGCAGTAACAGGCACAGTATAGAAGAGGATGGGGAAGCTTAGTAGGCTGATTATTCTGTACATCATCGCTAGATTCATTATTAGCGTTGTCATCATCATCGTCGTCGTCGTTATCATAGTCAATCAAGGAAGCCATTTCATCATTGTTATATTTAGAACTACGTAAATCCATTAAATTGTAGCGCAGTTACGACGGCGTGATATACACGACCCCGCTAGAGGTTGAAATACGCAGCTCTCACCACTTACCCATACTCTCATGCTTTCAGCTCTATATCATCTCGCGATTAAATTCATGGTCGCGCGGGCCTCGCAAACTCACGTATTCACACAGTCACATATATAGTTCCACTTTTTATTCACTCATTTTACAACAGAAAACTAATTTTTTGACATCGTGACGAATACGAGCAACCTGCCAAGTTGCCTATAATTGTAAGTCGATGCCCAACTAATAAGGTGGCCCTTCACTATTCGATATAATTAGTTTGTCCACCCACGGGTATCCTAGTTTCAGAATGATATTTCTCTCTGTTTGCCCTTTGTCTCCGACTTGATTCACATTATACTATATATATATATATATATATATATATATATATATATATATACTTCGTAGGTAAGTAGTAACTCTAACTAATTTTCATACAAATCTATATGTATATCGCACGCGCGGTAACTCCGACCATAATCAGCTTACACAGGGTAGATGGCTGGTTACTTCTGTGGGATTTTAAGCCTCGCCACTCGGCTATTGACAAAGAATTGGCCAAACTGCTCAAATCGAAAGCCATTGCCTCGTGTAAAATCCAACACATAGCCATATACGTACTTGTATACGTTATTGACGCACTGAATAAGTTGTGTCCACTTGCGGTTGTTATTTACCATTGTTGCTGAAGCAGTATTCAGTATTCTTTAATTTACGTTGTTGCTTGCAGACGACACGTTTCATGTTGTGGAAATTTCCTTTAAGGTATATCTCAGCGTCGGTGTGAGGGCTCCGAAATAGGCCAGGGGGTGTCCAAGTCCTTCGTTTGCAGAGGGTTGGCCATAGAAAGCTTGGTCCCGAACCTTCGGTGGGCATCAACCTCACCCGTTGCCGAGCTCCCTAGCTAGCGGATGTTGCGTCGCTTACCGATCTCTGGTTTTCCCCGCCTCTTCGAATCACAAACATCATAGATGACATCATCAGCAGTAGCAGCTGGTTGAGATAGACGAAACGTTGAGATACCATCCTGTGTTGAAAGTGTTATTAATGTAGATGATTTCAGCAGATGGATATTACTGCGGTGTATGACGAGCCGTTCTGCCCCACGTTAGCGTTACAAGTTGGCTGGTTAGTTGTGTTGAGGTATAGGGTTGTTTGCCTAGACTGAAAAATCGGGTTTGTTTTTCTTCTTTGTTTGATGATGGTAACGATGATTAACGAACGAGCGTTAGTTTATAGCAATCTAGTTGATCGGTTTATGAGGCGAATAGTTGAAGCATGTGGTCTGTTAACATTGCGGGGGCGGTCACGAGCTGCGTAAGCCTGTTTACCCTGCAACTGAACAAGAGCAATTGAGCATAGTGTGGAAATATTGTAAAATCGGTTAGTTGAAATAATATAAAGGTCGAAATCCTGCTTAATTTCTTCCATTGTATCATTTACAATTCGTATCTCATCAATGTCTTCACGCGTGTATGTACGGTTCAATAACCGCAAAGCAATTGAAATAACCAAGAACAAGAGTAACGAAGCAAAGTTAACCTACCGTGTTGAACCTACCGAGAGGGAAGTTTAGATCAGCCATTTGGCTCGCGGAGACGGCGTTTGAGGTCGCGTTGACGACGCACTTCCGCATGTGCTTCTCCAGCGTCGAGGGCACGGAAAACGGCATGTCACAGAAACGGCAGCGGTATACATCCTTGCCGATCCGTCCGTGTGTCTTCATATGTCTGGTCAGCTTGGAGCTCTGCGCGCAGGCGTAGGAACACAGCTCGCATTTGTAGGGCTTCTCACCCGTGTGCGAGCGTCGGTGCACGGTCAGGTTGCTGCAGTTCTTGAAAACCTACCGATCCGATAGCAACATGTGAACGAGTCGAGCTTTAGCAAAAGAAACACTATGGGTCGCAATCTGCGACCTTTCAACTGGACATTCATATATATATGTATATATATGGAGAATATGAAGAAGTTGCAGTTCTTGGCGAATTAATTAAATACAACGAAATTTCAGCTTCGGTAATTCAAAGGTTCATCATTACGTACCTTTCCACAGAATTCGCAAGTGTCGTTGCGTCTCTCCCCCCGGGGCGGCTTGGTGCCAGCGAGAAAGGGCACCATGGAGGCACTCGAGGCGGCGGGGTGTCCCCTGAGCGGCGAGAAGGGCAGACTGCTAAGCAGATCCTTCGCGCCTCGGCTGAACGGGCTGCTCTCTCCGAGCCCGCCGTAGAGGTCGCGCGCCGCCGGCCCGAGCCCCTGCATCGTCCACAGTGGGTAGAGCGCCTCAGCTGACGCCCCGTCCAGTTTGGCTGCCGACGAGGACCGCTCCGTCAACGACGAGTTCACTGAGCTGGGGCTTCCTCCTGTAAACGCGTATAAAGCCATTATGAAGAGTGGGTCTAGCCGCGGAATTTATTATAGATCTAAGTGCAATACTTTCTTCATCAAATTAAAAAAAAAGGCCTCTGAAAGAAATACAGAATATGTCATTTCACTGTCGGATAGGTATGCCATAAAAGTAAGCAACGGGCAAAAGAAATGTTCAGAAAATCATCCAAACTATGAGCATATCACTATATGTACCCGATTGGTTTTACGTTACCGTTTACGAACGAAGCCGCAGAACTGGGCCGTTCCTCGAGAGCCTGTTTGTAGGCCTCCGAGTACTGCTGGATATTGGTAAGGCCAATCTTCTCCATGACTTCTCCGAGAAGGGACTTCCTCAGGCCGGCAGCTGCGATCATGTGCGCCATCGCTGAATGGTCGGCGGCCGTTGTTGGCGGGGCCGCGGGGGCCACCGAGGTAGTCGTAGTTGACGATGTTGTTGTCTTGGGGGGTGAGAGCGATGGGGGCACCGGAGTCGTCGAAGACGAAGAGCTCGGGCCCCGCACGGTGAGGTCTTGGGCGACACAGTCTCCGTTCACAGGAGCTGCAGATCCTTCGCGACATCGAGATGATCCCTTGTGTTTGAGGTTTAGGCGGATACGGTGGTGGTGACGGGCGAGCGGCAGGCCGTCGTGCTCTTCTTCATCGTCCAGCTCGTCCTCATCCAGTTCGTCCTCGTGGTCCTCGTCATCTTCTTCCGCTTCTTCCACTTCATCCACCTCATCTTCTTCGGTGTCGCAATCATCGGCTGATGCCGACGCCACAGATGGTGCAGATGCAGCGGAGACAGCGGCTGCTGCCGCAACCACCGCAGCAACTCGACCCTTTAAATTGGTCGGAACGACCGAGGGGTTGTTGCTCAGACTCGGATTTAACAGCTTGTTTGCTAGCTGTTCCCGTTTAACGAGCGAAATGCTGAGGCCCGTCACGCTGTCATGTTTGCTGCTAATACTGCCGACGCTATCTTTGAGGGCAGCATTTGTGTCGACAGCGCTGACGTCGGTTGCTTCAACCAATCGATCCTTAGCACTATTGGTCGTCTCGTTCGTGCGGTCCGGCATAATAACATCAGATAACGATGAAACGTCTTTACGGGTTAGCTCGCTGTCGTGTTGCGACTTCATATGTTTTTGCAGTCGCGACTCTTTCTCGCACTCGAAACTGCACAGGCTACAGCTGAATACTTTGGGTTCTGTGATGCTAATGTCCTTGATGGAGTTGAGAGCGTTTGAAAACGACTTGGGCGAAACCGACGCCGCATCAGGCAGACGTGCGTCAAGTGACAGAGGCAAAGCCTTTCCATTGCTTGCAAGCGTGCTTAGAGCAGCGATGGCAGCGTTAGGGGACGAAGCGCCAGCGAGCTGTCGGAGCCGCTGCGAGTAGAAGTCGCCGTGGTCGAGGCCGGCAGGTTGAGGAGGACGAGGTGATGAGCCGCCAGCCTTGAGGTCGAGCGGGGCGCCCAGAGGTGAAGAGCTGCGGAGAAGTGGAAAGCTCGAACCAATGGGTAGGTTGAGAGGACCCATAGGTCCTTGTGATGACACCGAATCTGAGCAGATTCTTAAGCCGTGCGCAGATTGCGCGTGCTGCACAAGCAGCCACGCTGACGCACACGTCTGCTTACACGTGAAGCACGTATAACTGCTAGGCTCTGTAAGATATGCATAAGAAAGCGAAAGAACAATTAATATAACGGTAATAGATCGCCGGTAGACACGCATGTCATATTGAAAGAGTTGCGCCTACACAGCGACATAGCAGTCAGCTAGCTGCTGCAGTACAACTACATACACAAATTAGTTAGATAAAAGGGGCCATACGACATTGTCTGACGAGACAATGGCGGCCTCTAGAACAAAGGACAACCAGAACAACGGAATGGCGCCATCACAACTACCAGTTATGGTGCTCTGCGTCGATGTACAACAATCACAAACGACAATCCAATAAGCGAATGTCGATATGGCCAGCCCAAGTCAGATATAATGAAAGATCTCCTCGTCTAACTTCAGCCAGACAACAGCACCCGGGGCAGTAGCCCATTCTATTCTCACTATCCAAGCACTACCCGCGCACTAACAGCGCGGAAACATCGAAATGAGGGAACGCGCGGCGAGCGATGCGTCTGCGATGGCAGCACGATCGGCGATGTGGTAGCATTAAGAACCGCGCTGACGCCGCCGTCACCGGCGCTGCTATCATTACCAAGTGGGTGGCCAAGTATTCAGATCTCCATGGGGTCTCCTCATAGGCGCCCACTACTTGATGTCAATGTGAGCTCACATCGAGAATCTGGATTAGAGGGGCTAAAGGGGTACGCAGCAGGGACAGACAAGAGGAGGAGAGAAAATCGGGATATGTTCGATATGGTAGGATCTACTGCACACGGAACCCTTGTGGACGAGGAGCGACAGGCAAGCGCAAGCCCAGCACAGCCATTGCTACAGTTACTACTGTTACTAATGAAAGAAGTCCATTTACGATTTCCACTGAACGGCTGGCTGACTAGCAACCTACTACTACCGGCAAAGAATACTCGACGCATTATTGTTGTCGTACGAGAAACATCAAGGTAGCGATAAATGCAATAGGCGCTACGACGACGAGAAATAGATTGGCTAGCGGCAATGGCCCCGGCGTGACATTGTCGCATTTCACACCCCTTGAATGCGATGTGAAACCACGTTAATGTTGGTAAACAATTACAGCCACCATAAGAGAGACGCCAGTAGGCAGCAAAGGTACAGTACAGCGAGTGGGAACATATATATATATAAAATGGCCGCTGAGCGGAGGCGGCACAACGAGCGACGAGACGACGTAGAAGGGCAGGAACCTCATAGTACGGCGGTTAGCAACTGATAATGGATTCCGCACCGACGCTGATAGTCAGTTTAAGCTAGTGGAGAAGACGCTGCCATTCGGCCGCGTGGATGCGCGCGGTAGTTCGACGTAAGTACAGAGCGGCGAGGGAGAGAGAAAGAGAGAGCCATTTTGATCAGGAGAACGACGACGTCAGCGAGAGAGAAAAGAGTACGATTGAGAGACAAAGATGATGCCTTGCGTGAAGTTGGAGGCCGGAGATGAACGGAAGCATCGTCATGGTCGTCCAATGGTCGCAAGCGCTGCAACAAACGCAGAGGCGTTCAAAGCACTCACTAAAACTAACCTTCTTCATCTCTAGCAAGGGTTAAACGCAAGGGGATGGATCGAGCAGCAGCCGATAGCAGAGTCAGTAACGTAGCAGTAGATTAATGAAGCTCCTGCCAGGACTGAACCTGCTCTCTGGCTACCGTTTGACTAGCCAGTTGCCTTCGCAGTCGCCACATCGGCACCATTGAGAGCTCCATCAGTCATTCGAAGCGACGCAGGAGAAACTCCTCGAACACAGATACACACAGTCAGACACACAGAAACATCAGGAGCGGGAAGCATTTACAATTTAAATCGGCCGCGTCTCGTCTCATCGTGCTTCTGGCCTCCGGCTCAGCAGCTTCGACAGCCGTTACGGCAACCACTATCGTAGCTATCCTCTGTCACCCATTCAATAGTAGAAGCAGTGATAGGAACTGGGAATAATGTGAAGGCGGAATGCTTCCTTCTAAACGAAAAAGGCCGAACGTCTTCTCGTTAAACTCTGACGACGACGACGACAATGCAGAATTCTTCATTCTTTTTCGACCATCGCCTCGGCTCGTCTGTAATAGCTATACGTGGCCGTCACTGCCACAACTGGTTGGGCTTTTAGCATCTGTTCATGCGACTGCTGCTGCTGCTGCTGCCTCCAGGGCAAAGACTTGCTTTCCATTGCTGCGCACCATCTCTTTTGATTTTGGGAGCGTACAGAGCGGCGGCCAAATCAGTGGACAATCTCAGATTAAAACGATCCATCATTTTTGTTGAACGGGAACATTTTTCGAGATTTTAAGCGTGGCCCATGAGTAAGTCCCCTCGATCTATAGATCTTAAAAGCGAAAGCCCAAAGCAGGCTTAGATTCGCTAAGGCTGCAGTGGTGGCTACTAAATCCAACCTGCCGTCCCTTTTTTGCCGAGCTTCAATTCCAACGTTCAAGAACTTCGAAGGGCCAGGGTGAGCAAGTTTCAATTATGTCCTCCGTCAACTTCAATATGGACCTGTCCCGTAGAAAATTCGAACATGCTTCAAACACAATATATATATGTATATGCAAGCGTAAACCACCGTTGTTCGTTCATCTATAGCTGCTTGTACGAATGTATATAAAGTATGTTTTCTCTGGGAACCCAGGACGGATGAACGCTACGAGTGAAAAACTGGAAATCAAATAATAGCTTATTTAGTTGGCATCACTTTGTTAAGATACCATCGGTTGCAATACCTGTAACAACGAAAGTCTAGCGCTACTTTTGTCTGTAGCGGTTAACCTAGAATGAGTCCTTAGTTCAGCTACCATACCGGTCACCGGTTAGAGTAGTCTAGCCGTAAACGAATCATACGCTTGAACTATCATCGACATATCGACTAACCGTCAGCCATTGAAACGAGTCGAAATTCGGATTTATTGTCAAGTGATCAGTTCAACGTAGTGCCGGTCGGAACAATCAACGATTGATCAAAGAGTTTGCTCCGTAAACAAATATGAGGCTTAGCGATCCCGTCTGATTGGTTGGCAACTTCTACAATTCACAATCATTACGTTGGGATCAATCGGAAGGCTGTTTGTGGCTAATTCCCCTCGACTGATGCTATATAGTCAAGTACCTTCCAGTTGTAACGTACGTTTTAGTCCTTTACTACTTTTCACCTATTCATGAATCTTTGTCCGCTTTTATCGTACCGTCGTCTCGATCGGACGTCGAATAACTATCATTGCAATAACCTATTGATCGTGCTGAGTAAACGTCCTTGTCTCCTATCCAGATGCAATTGTGTATAGACCAGTACCAACATAATCATACTTTGATTGTTGTTCTCTGCCCACTAGCGCCACTCACGTGCTTCAGTTTGATAAAAAAGAAATTTGAAATTTTTGCGGCAAATCATCTCAGAAATAAAAGGCCGAGTCAATAACTCAACGTAAACGGGAACCCCGTCTCCGCAAATCGTTTTCAATGAACGGCATTATCCATTTACGAAAAAACATGGATTGAAAGATCGATCTCTTTCCAAAGTGAGTCGCCTATATGGCACCTGGCTGAGGAAGATTTCCAGTGCGCTTATGACGCCGTAACAACAAATGAAGAACAATGGGCTGCCTCGACCAAACCATGCAATACGATCGTCGGCACTACGGTATCATCGGCAATACGCTCATTTGTTTAGCCTCTTTCACAAGCTCATGCGGATCTCGTCTGGCTGTAAACAGCACAAAAACGCCACAGCAATGCGCTAGATAATGCACCGCAGCAGTTTCCTTCGAGTCGCGTGTGCTTCGTAATAGATTTACATGTGTCATATTATAGGGGACGGTAGATGGAGGAACCACAAACGGGGCGTTATCTATTATAACGATTCGCGATCACACGGCTAACTTGTACAGATAGGTGTGCTAACACGTACATATACGAGGATGCTATCTTTGTCTTCTAGGATACGACTTAAATCGAACAGCGCTGCCTACAGACGCCAAGCGACTGCGGGTGCTGCTGCCCCTTCGTCTAAACTATCGATTTTAAATTTCAACTTTTTCACCCCCGCTTGGGCTCTCCACCCCCCCACCCCCCCCCACTTCAAGTTCTTTCTCGTTTTCGTAGACGGAACAGATGGCAGCATTCAACCGATGGCAGTGCCAACGACCATTCAGGGAACCGACCAACTGCCCGACCATCGAGGAAAACCAGGACAAAATATCATCGATGATCGACCATCGTTGTCTTTGCTGATGGCGATGATGATGACAAGAACGAAAACAACAGCAGCAATGACGACGAAAACGAGTCGCCAAAGAAAACCATCATCAATGCTCGGAATAGAGTCGGCTCAACTTCAGGGAGTAAGTAGTTCAGAGGAACCACCTAAATATATACGGACTACGCAACTACTTGTACGCTAAACGAGATAGAACGGTGCTTCTCTATATTGCGGAAAGGCGTTTGATTCTGCATCGTTCACCGATGTTTCGCTTTGGGAGGAGGGCCGTCTAAATCGGAGTTAGGGTCAGGCAGAGAGGGGCTACATATATGGATGAAAATCGCCTTAAATGGACGGACTTTATATCGTCATCGAGTGCTCTTCTTCGTCTAGAAAGATAGATCTATGTGATCGCAGGCAATGTCTAAGTATTCTATGCTCGAACTGAACGCAGCATCGTCGCTACCGCCGCCAGCAGTGTCGGAGGCAAACGGCGGTTTGTCGAGACGGCGAAAGCGGCTTGTTTGCCTCACGATAGAGCAGATTTTTTTTGCCCCTCGATGTGCTGTTGAGAGTAGCTTTCTATTTTGCTGATTTCGACCTCATCGAGTCGATTCGTATAAGCACATTTCGAGTCACATAAAGACATCAGTAGCACTGAAGAAAGCTAACTGTACACGTCTTCAATGGCACATTGTATCTATCCTCGTTTTTGCAGTCTTAGTGTCCCATCACTAGTCGTAATAGAAACTCAATAAACAGGTATATATATATATATATATATGGGCACTTACATGATTTATTTCAAATACATTTGTCTC